ATGCCTAGAGACTTAACTATTTTAATATTGATTAAGATTAATTAGTATAGTAATAAAACATGCCACCTTAGCCACACATTTAGGTGAAAATATTTCATAGTTCTAGTCTGGATCAGGTGCCATACAGTTTCTTATGTCAATATGGGACAAAAAAAATACATAGATTCACCAGCAAGTGACTTTTAGTCTAGGTCCAAGAATGCCCAAATTCTATATTATATATAGGCCCTAATGATCTTGAAGTCATATTCGCATATACATATGGAAAGTTTCATGGCAACTGTGCCAACTATTCAAAGGGAAGCATGGGAAGTCTGCTCTTCTCATCAGTCCTGTATATGCTGTGAATTAGTGTGGAGAAAAACCACCACACCCTTTTACCATTCTTACTTCCCTCACTACTCCAAATGTGAGTCAAGTGAAGACTTGGGTAGCAGCCTGCTTGTTTAACATTGCTGTGTGTCAGTATGTCACCATGTTCAAGAGATAAGGAAATGGAGTAGAAATCAGAGTGTAGGTGGTGAGAGCATGAAGCCTAACATGTTTAATTATACAGTGTATTAAAGCACTCATTCAGCCATAGTGTGAGTGCATGCAAGCATGTGTGTGTGTGTGTGCATATGTGTGTGTGCATGCCAACATGTGTGTGAGTGTGCATGCAAGTGTGTGTGAGTGTACATGCAAGCATGTGTGTGTGAATGTGTGTGTGCATGCAATCGTGTGTGTGAGTGTGCATGTGTGTGCATGCAAGCATGTGTGTGCATGCAAGCATGTGTGTGAGTGTACATGCAAGCATGTGTGTGTACATGTGTGTGAGTGTGCATAAGTGTGTGTATGTGTGTGTGCACGCTCACATGCAGGTGCATGTGGAGGTCAGAAGCTGACATCAGGTATCTTCTTCAATGTCTCTCTATTTTATTTTTTGAGTCAGGGTCTCTCACCAAGTCCAGAACTTGCTGATTTATTTGGACTAGCTAGCAGTACACTCCAGGAACCCTCTTGTTTATGTGTCCCCAGAGCTGGGATTATAGATGGGTGCTGCCACTCTGTTCAGCTTTTTACATGAGTGCTACACATACTTTATTGTAAAAGGGAAGTGGGGGAGGGAATGGGAGGAGTAGGGGCAGGACCGTGGTTGGTATGTAAAATAAATTTTAAAAATAAAATAAAATACTAAATGAATGATAAACACAATTTTGAAAAAAGAAATCCAATTTGTTCTTTATTGGGTGCTGTCTTCGAGCGCCGCTGAGCACCACGTCATGCCTTGTGCCCACAGAGGCCAGAGAGTGAGTTGGGTCACCACTTCCGTTTTACTGCCCCATCTGCCCCTCCTCCTCTGTCTCCATTCAGAAGGGGTAAGGCCTCCCATGGGAGTCAAAAAAGCTGAGGCAGGACCAAGCTCCTCCCCTTTGCGTCAAGGCTGGGCAAGTTTTCCACCATAGGGATTAGGTTTCAAAGTGCCAGCTCATGTGTCAGGGACAGGTCCTGGTCCCGCAAAGTCTAAGCTATACAACTGTCACCTAGATACAGAGGGCCAGGGTTGGCCCTATGCTGCCCTACTAGCTGTCCATCCAGAGCCCATGAGCTCCCACAAGCAGAGGTCCACTGTCTCTGTGGATTTCTCCATCATGATCTTAACCCCACTTTGCTCATAATCTCTCCTCCTCTCTTTGACTGGATTCCTGGAGCTCAGTCTGCTGCTTGGTTGTGAATCTCTACATCCGCTTCCGTCTGTTACTGGATGAAGGTCTATGATGACAGTTAGGGTAGTCACCAATCTGCTTACAGGGGGAGTCCAGTTCAGGCACCCTCTCCACTACTGCTAGGAGTCTTAGCTGGGATCATCCTTTAGGCAGAAAGGTGGAGAAGCATCTTAGGAGAAGGCAGAATGAGGGGAGGATAAAAAAGATGCTGATATAACCCTCAAAGTCAGGTGCTTCATGTAGAGGTATGAAAGTCTGACATAATCCATGAAGAAATTCATGGCTCATCAATAACTCAAAGGGCAAGGAGAATCACATAAATAAAGCAGGGTTTTATCTGAACAGTAGACCAAGCCTCTGTCCCACCTCTTCTCTGTATGTGTGTCCATGAGTGTGGAGGCTAGAGATCAAAATCAGGTCTCTTCTTCAACTGCTCTCCACTTTATTTTAGTTTATTTATTGATTTTTTGAGACAGTGTCTTTCATTGTCACCCCAGCACTCACCAATTTAGGAAGACTGTCCAGTCAGTGAACCCAGAGAACATACTGTCCCTCCTGGTTCGAAATAAGAAAAGCATGTATTATCAAGAAAGAGGAGGAGGAAGAGGGGAGGGGGAGGGGGAAGAAAGGGGTAGAGGAAGGGCAGAGGGAGAGGAAAGGGAGGGGGAGAGGTAGGGCAGGGGGAGAGGAAAGGGAGGCGGAGAGGTAGGGCAGGGGGAGAAGAAGGGGAGGGAGAGGGAGAGATGAAGTGGTGTTACTCGGTGCTATGAAGGGAGATTTTCATTTTTTTCTTTTCTTGACTTCTTCCCACTAAAAACTGAACAACATAAACCAAATGCAAACCAGCAGGGAAATACAGAAACACTCCCACAAAAGAACTATTATTTGGATGCAGATTGTGGTAAAAACCCTGAGAAAACAATGCATCTTTGTTCCTTTTCTGGGAAATGCTCGGTGCCTGGGAAGTTGTTGGTAGTAAGGCGGGGAAGCTCTTCAGCTCTCGCCGTTCTCTGCTGGTGACCAAATGTGTTATCTTCCAAGCCCATCTCTCATGCTGCACTACATCACCGACCCCAAGGAAGCCCGTGCCATAGATAGCTTCCTCAGAACCCAGCACAACGTTTAGCATAGCCGAAGCTGCTTGACACAGGCTTATTGAAGAATGATGGCCAAGGTCTAGCATCTACCGCCCACCATCATTGAGTTGGTGATATGAATTTTGGCAGACATAAACAAAGCTTCTCACTCAGTCTCTCCCCTTTCCTCTCCTTTCTCTGTCATGGAAAAGCCTTTATCACAGCTGTCCTCTCCTGTGGGCCTCCACACGTCGAGCAGAAGTTTCTTTTGTCACTCCATTACAGGAAGGGGTGATGCCCCAGACAGACTAGATGCCCAACCCCTGGAGGGCAGGGAGGACTGGGTTTCATGTACTCACGGATTGTCTGAAACCTCATTAAGTGGCAAGCATATACTAGGTACTCAATAACCCTAACAAGGGAGCAATTTTGTAAACAACAATTATAAATGTTCATTTGTATCAACAAATATTTACTGAACTCTAAATTTAAGAAATTTGAATTCTGGGCCTGGAGAGTTGACTCAGTGCTTAAGAGCACTGGTTGCTCTTCCAGTGGACCAGGATTCAATTCCTAGCACCCATATGGAGGTGTTAACATTGTAATTCTAGTACCAGGGGGGCCAATGACACCTTCTGGTTTCCTTGGGCACTGCACACAGATGGTACACAGACATACATGTAGGCAAAAAACACATATAAATAATATATAAAAGTAAATATCTCAAAAAATTTCAACTCTGGGGAATTTATTTATTATTATCTAGCTATCTATTTATTTACTTATTTACCATTTTTATGAGACAGGGTCTTATACAGCCCAGACTTGCCTTAAACACCTGATCCTTCTACCTCCCAAGTGCCAGGATTAAAGCATGCAATTTTTTCTGTCTATTTGGGGAACTGACGTTTTACTGGAGATAGACAATAAGCATGCCAGACTATGTTTGACAGTTGACTGCTGTCAAGCCATACACCCCCATCTTTTCAAACTTCTGCAAGGAAGTTTGGGCATTTCTTTTGGTGATCGTGGTGGTTAGTAGTATTTAGATCATGGGAACCCCAGTGGTGTGCAGAACTCTAGGCTTCAATCAACCCTTAACCACAAAGAATACCAAAGTGGTTTGCCCCACCCTTCAAGACATAATGCATTGTCCAGTTCTACCCAGAAAGCTTCAACCTCTGAGAAACGGGGCCCACCCAGTTCCTCTTGGGACAAATTGAACTGATTTAATGATAGTGGTGGGTTATTTATCTATGATCTATATGATGTCTAAGGATGCTCTGTAGAAGTAGCTTGGACCGTGTAACTGATAGACAACACAAATTTAGTTCTCATGATTTTCAAGGCTGGAAAGTCCAAGATTAAGGCACTGGCAATGACTGGTGAGGGTCTGTGTGATGGTTTGAATGAAAATGACCTCCATTGGTCCAGAGGGTGTGGCACTACTAGGAGGTGTGGTCTTGTTGGAGTAGGTGTGGCCTTCTTGGAGGAGATGTGTCACTGGGGGTGGGCTTTGAGGTTTCAGATGTTCAGGCCAAGCCCAGTCTCTCTCTCTTCCTGCTGTCTGCCAGATGTAGAACTCCCAGCTACCTCTCCAGCACCATGCCTGCCGGTATGTCCCCATGCTTTCCACCTTTATGATAATGGACTAAACCTCTGAAACTGTAAACCAGTCCCAATGAAATGTTTTTCTTTACAAGGGTTGCCATGCTGTGGTGTCTCTTCACTACAATAGAACACCAAATAAAACAGTTGGCTTCCTCACAGTTGGGCTTTCTCTCTTTGACGTTGTTTGGATGAAAGGACAAGAATCTCCCTCAGTCTCTCTGGTAGAGACATCAATATCATTTGTGAGAGCTCCACCCTCATGGCATAGTCACGTCCCAAAGGCCATATCTACCAATGCCATCTCTTTCAGGTCATGGACTTGGAGGGGACACAAACACTGAGACCAGAGCAGGGTGTAATGTGTAGCCTCTGGCCAGCCACCTGGGCCCTGCCAAATAACACACAGGACGTTTGCTTGGTTTCTTATTGGCTAGCTCTGACTTAAATATTTAACCCATAACTGCTAATCTGAGTATTTCCACGTGGTTCTCTCTTAGTGGAGGAAGGGTCCAGGCATGTTACTTCTCCCGTGTCCTACATTGTGACTGACTGTGCCTCTCTTTCCCAGAATCCTTCTCAACTCCTAGTCCCACGTATCTTGCTTCTCTATTGGCCGACAGTGCTTTATTCAACAACCAATAAGATAGATTTACAGAATGACATCTCCCATCAGCAGGAGAAAGCCATAAGTCACAAATAAACAAAGTGACTTCAGGTAGTGGTAAATGTGAGAAAACCTAGGCAGGCCAGTGAGATAGGGCCCTGGGTGGTGGGGGTGAAGGGGAGAGGGAGTGCTGAGTCTAAGGAATTGCTGACCCCATGACCAACATTGGACTTGATGTGGCAGAGACAGTCAGTTGCCTCCCCATACATTGCCCCTTCTCTATGATAAGAACAATGACACTTCATTTCTTCATCACTAATTAGCTGAGTGCATGGTCTCCCTGATTATAAAACAAAAGTGGCATCGTTCAGATTCCCTTTCAACTGGGGCATTCATGGACTTCTCATGTGGATACGGTGGTTGGAATACCTCAGGACATTTGGGCCCACACAAAACTGGGAATCAAGCTAGAGCAGAGCCACAAAAACAAGTCTGGCTCTAGATACAGACATCTCCAGGCCAGAACAAGTGAGAGAAAACCAGTTGTGTGCTGTTAAGACTACAGGAATTTTAAGTTCAGTGATTTCTTCGTCTGAGCCATTCCTGATCCATAAATGCGTGGTGTATCCCAGGGCAGAGCCTGTTGACCTCCAATTCATCGTCTTTCCCCAAGTCTTTCCCATCTCTTTCCTGTCCTCTCAGCTTAGTTCTGGTGAGATTTCTTTCTGAAGGTGTCCTTGCTGGTCCTCTTAAATTGGGCACTTTTCAAAACGTAAATAGTCAGAAGGAAATGATCTGTTGAGTAAATTTAAAAGCCAACTTTCATTGTCCAGAACATAAAACCCAACAAAAGGGAGAATACCTTATTGGCCTCCTTACCTGCCCATCACATAGCCCCGCCCACAGCCCCCCCACTACCATTGAGTAAAATGTCAGACTGTCAGTTGTTTAAGGCGAATCCCCTTTGTTTCTTCTCTACCTGGTGGGTTTTTCCCCACTATTTCCCCTTCTCTTCCCCCCTTCCCCTCCCTCTTTTCCTCCTTCTATTGTGTTCTTACTTGTTTGCTTTTAAGAAAGCCAGGGCCTAGCTTCGCCACTCTGCTCTGGTGCCCTCCTCCCCCTCCCCCCATTTTCAATCGCCATCTTGCCCAAACAGCAGCAGTTGTAGTTCCTTTCTCAAAAGGGCTTTAAAAATGTCACGAAACCCTCAGCCTCCACCTCAGATAATAAAGCTGGCTATCCTAGTCCTATGCTGTGAGAAAATTGAATTAATAAAAAGGATATATTGGCAGTAGCAACCAAAATTAAGTACTGGGTATTATTTTAATGAGATAAACTTTAAAGCCCTGATAATAACAATGAGTTGTGTGCATAACCCTGATGAGCATGGAATTGTCCTTGGGCCTTGCCCCTGGGGACAGCCTCCCACAAAGCATGCTGGAATTGTTTTGATACCATTTGTACTTAGGAGCCAATGACAGCCAGGCAGCAATGCACATGCTGGAGTGGAGACAGATTATCTGGACATGGTGCCGACATGTCTTTCCCTGAAACAGAAATCTGGGTCAAATTCTCATAGGATTTAGTTATTTCTATTTTGACATCATGGGGAGAGATAATTGTGCAACTTTGGCCCTTTAGCAGAACAGAAAGATTTTGGAAGCCTTTAACATTCCTGAATATTACAAAATTATTTATCCCCCTCAGCAAGTTGTGGGTGGTAATACGGTACGTTCCATTCCCCATGGCTTTCAACTGTGTTGGGACATTGAACTTCACTCTGGTTAACAAAGTGAGGCAACTCTCGTACCTGTAACACGTGAAAGCGTTTGTGGGACTGCTTGCAGATCACACGTATCTAGTTGATAGACTGGGAGCTGTGAAATCGAGGACCTCTTGCTTCCTCCCTGTATCCCAACAACCAGTTTGTAGAGCCAGGCCGACAGTCACAGAGAGCCCAAGGGGGAGCAGTTAGAGAAATGAGCAAACACAGTCGCTTGAGTCTTCCGCTTAAATTGATTTAGGAAGCTGGCTTTTAATGCCCATGCTCTTTAATTTTAGGTGCTGGGGATTGAACTCAGGACCTTGTGTAGCCCAGGAAAGTGTCCACCCCCAAGCTGCACCATCAGCCTGGGGGTTTTGAAAGTATTTTTGATGTTCTCAGATCATAATTTGTCTTGGTAAACCCACTTAACTTTTCCCTGGATCCTAATATTTCACCCGTCCTCAACTTGTGTATCGTTATTTGTTTGTGCTACTGGCTTTGACTTAAGGTTTTAGACTCTAGTGTTCATTTTTGCATTTTACCCTTGAGACAGTCAGTAGAGCTGTACTGGGGAAATGAAAAGAACTACCTGCTTACACAGACTTCCTAGATTAGCGGTTTTAACTGGCAGTGAGAAGGTTCAAGCCCTTCCCCATTCTTGGGGAACCCAGTCTTTAGGACAAGTGCCTGGAAAGATAATATTGTTTTAGCTCGTGTGTGTATTTCTGGGAGGTGGGTATAGCAGTGGATAACACTCTCACTGTAGACACTCAGTTCGCATTTAAATATTTAGAATTTCAGTAGCCTGTGACTGGAAGAGAATTTATTACAAGAAAAATGATTACCATGTGGTGGATTCAGAGAACTGACATGTACCTGCTATTTTCCTAGTGTGAGAAATATCAAGCTGACATTACACTGTCTGTGTGATGATTGCTTGGAAATGTCAGAGTGCAAGAAACGTATTCATGGGCCTTCAGCGGCTCAGGATAGTGTCAATTTAAAAGACACTCACATCGACTTTTTATTTAAACATGCTAAATGAAGTATGAAAAGCAGGTTAAGGGACCAACAGAGGAAGGAAAGAAAAGCAGAGACCCACTGACCAGAAAATTCTAAGTACGGTAATAGATAGCTGAGCTCTCCCATCAGTTCCCATAAACCTCTTGCTGACAGCTCTGGCGATCGCCTCCTAATACGGATGACAACTGGAATCACACTGTTCATGTTATTTCATTCATATCATACAGTGGATCTGAAAAATTTAAAAGAGGATGAGGGTTATTCAATTTTTGTGTGTCATCTTAGCAAATATGACAAATAACCAAATTAATATTTTCCCACCGCTTTTCATAGAACATTGTGGACTTCAAACTAAAACTGAATAACTGAGTGATACTGTAAATTAAAAATGTATTCTGTTCCCCAAATCTCTCTAGCAGTTAATTATGAACTCACTGAACTTGCTTGAACTGCTATTTTGGAAGTAACTCAAAGGAATTATTTTTTCTTCCTTCTAATACAAATTGGCCACATTGTAGATAATTATGTGTTTAAATAAACTTTTATCTTTCTAATTAAGTGCACAGCATGGTTCCTAATTGCCTGGGGTCACTGAAATCTTAGGGTGTTTCCTGGGAAAGCTTTTCTTGTCTATCTCGTCAGATTTCCTCTCTCTTCTTGGAAGCCAATCTCCTTTCCCTTTTCAAATTCTCCCTTTTAGCAACAGAAATGATGACGGCGACAGTAACATGGGTCAGGTGGAATTATTCAGACTTTTTGCGGAAGTCAGTGAGGAGAACCCACCCTGGACCCACTTAAATTCTTTGATGCAGGCACAGAAGGTTATTTCTGATACAAAGCAAAGGTGTGGGACCTCCCGATGGAGCAAGCAGCTTGCAGCTGCAGAATTTAAAATTTCTTATTCAAAAATAAAAAGACAAGTCAAATACACGGCCAGAACCACTCACCTCATGTCATTAATTTTGTTCACTAAAATCAAAGCGGGAACAGAGAACAGAGAAACTCTGTCTCGAAAAACCAAAAAAAGAAAAAGAAAAAAAAAAAAGAAAATCAAAGCGGGAATAAGATGGATTACGGATTGCTATTCTATTGTTATTGTTCATGTTTTGACGTCTAGGTCAACATTCAAAGATGGTGGCTCTCCATGAAACTTCAGGAGTCACAATGCTCAAAGACACATTATGTTGTATGCATCGGATATCACCTGAACCGAACCGAACCCAAAACACTGAGAAGCTAGAGTTTATGGCCTTGGACAACCCCACGATAGCTAAAGAGTCTCAGTCCTCATTCTCCCTTTAAGCATAGGCGTCTCAGCTCCCACTTTCTGCATCTTTCTGCGCCTTTGACAGGAGAGAGGCCTGGAAATCCAGACCTTGTCTGTAATCCCAGGGTCAGCGACCACGTCAGCATCTTGAAGGCCATTACCAATGTCTTTTCTGGAACGCCCTGACCTTGAGGGTCACTAACAGCAACACGAGGGTGGAGAGTTTGTGTTTTTCTCACTGTGGGATCTCGGACATGAAGTTCAAAAGCCCTGACAAGGGACAAGGGCTCACCTTGGTTGGCCTTTCTTGTTTGCTTAGGTTTCTTTTACTCTCCGGGCCTTCAGTCTAATATTGGTGAAGCATGGTGGGGGTCACAGGCTGGGTGTTCTAGTAGACAACTTGGGACTCTACAGGTCTCCCTCAGCTCTGGAAAGCAGCAGGTGGGCTGGGTGGTCCTCAGAGGCAAAAACTGGAGCTAAGGAGCTGCAAAGAACAGAAGGACCTGGGCGGAGCTTCCAGGCATTCGCCCCGCCCACGGACACGCCCATCCCAAGCCCCACCCACAGTCAGCCCTGCTGTGAGGCCGGCGCGCCCCCTAGTGGCCGTGGGCGCGCTCTGCACCGGGTGGCGGCGGAAGCGGCTTCGGGTCCTGGCCGCGCGAATATGGCGGAGGCGGTGCGGCAGGAGCTCTCGGCGCTGGCCGCGATTTTCTGCGGGCCTCACGAGTGGGAGATGTTGAGCTGTTCAGGTGAATACCCTGTCTTCCACCCCGCGGCCACAGCGGGGAGCCGGGGGACCGGGAGTCACGAGGCCGAGGGCCGGCGTGGGAGGGGAGTGGAGGGGCGCGGCCTGCGCTCGCACTGCCTTCCCCTGGACTCGCCCGCCCTCCGCTTCCTCTGAGCTCTTCCCGCAGCTCAACTGCCCTCTTCATGGAAATCCAGCTCCCCCTAACCTTCAGTGATTCCTCTAAGCGCTTGTGCATTGTGTCCTTGACAGACCTGCGCTGTATTTGGTTGTCTGGGACGGGAGAACAGGAGGAAGGCAGCCAGCAAACACTTGCTGGGGGTGGGCGAATGTTTGAAGTCTCCAGAGTTGATTGCCTTAAATTTTTATTTTTAATTAAAAAAATCCTTTTATTTATTTTTACGTTTTCCAAGCTGCTCAAAAGGGACAGCCAATTCCAGACTCTTGCTGGAAGCGTTAACCATGCAGCTTGCATTCATGGATGCCTTTTTCCCTTCTAACATAGGCATGATACCCGCCTCTCCTCTGAGAGTTTATGTGAATATATATATATCCATCGAAAATTTACTTCATCCATTAAGGAACCCCCCCACACACACTTTGTGTGTGTATGCATGTTTTCCCTGCCTGTGTACATGTACCGTATGTACAAGGAGGCCTGAAGAGCGCGTTCAGGAGATGGGAGCTACAGAAGGTTGTGAGCTGTGCCATACGGGTGCTGGGAACTGAACCCAGGCCTCTGGAAGAACAGCCAGGGCTCTTAGCCATCCCCAGGGCTCCCAAATTTCCCCCTTTGGGAACGTGTGTTGATGGAGATGACCCTCACTTTGCCCTCAGCCGTCAAATGTGTCATGTACGTTTTGAGAACGACAGGAAATATCCTACGATTGCTATTGAAGTTGCCTTTCTGACCATACATAGGTTTACCTCTGAGACGACAGTGAAATGTGATAGACCTAGGGTAGTAATATCTATGGCTAAGGGGGCCTTGGGTCTCCATATGCTAAGTTATTTACTGACTGGGAGTTGGCACAGTTTCTTTTATTCCTTCTCACATGCACCCATTTACAGATGTTCATGATGCTCTGTGATGGTCCAGGCACTATGAACCTTCTGGAAAAAATGGAACTTCTTTCTTCTTTAGTGCCTAGACCTGTCTTGTGCTTTTTGGAAACTTCCTTAAAACCCCTATAAAAGGATTTATTGTAGGGATTTGCTTCCCTCTTCTGATTGGGTAGCAGTCCTAATAGGTTACCATCTCTTCTGTCTCCTCAGTTCTTTACTGATAATAGCTTCTGCCTGAGGCAGATCTTTTTTTTATAGATATTTTTTATTTTTAAATTTAAATTAGAAACAAGGTTGCTACACATGTCAATTCCAGATCCCTCTCCGTTTCCCTCCCCTCCTTCTGTGTCCTCCCACCAACCCCCCCCATATCCCCTCATTTCCCAGGGAGGGTGAGGCCCTCCATGGGGGTGTCCATAGTCTGTCATTTCATATAGGGCAGGGCCTAGACCCTTCCCCAAGAGTTCAGGGTGAGAGTGCATCTCTCATTGTTGGATGGGAGTCCAAAGTCCATTTGTATACCTGGGATAAATACTGATCTACTACCCAAGGCTCAATAGATTACCTAGGCTGAGGCAGATCTTTAAAGACACTAGTGTCTTTTTTTTTAATTTATTTTTTATGCAAATATTTGCAAGTGAGATATTTGCTCACTTGCAAATATCTGGGAGAAGTGAACCTGTGATGTCCCATGACATCTTAAAAAAATGATGGTGGTTTGCATTATGAGTTCATGGTTAACCATTAAACACTGCTGCTGGGTCAGAGAAACCCCCCCAAAAAGTAAGTGCTGAGAGAAAGAGGGTGGTTTCTCAATATTGAGGACACTGTGGCCCTTTATCTGCTGTTAAATTGAGCATGGCTTTCAAGCCATGCCTCCTAATTAATTTAATTCAGTGTTCTGGCATCAATAAGTAATTGAATTATAAAAGAATTCAGTGTAGCAACTTAGGACATTTTGTTACTAGAAGGTTCATTGGAGAGTAGAACAATTCCGCCATTGAAATGGGGATGTTTGATGCTCATAGCTGGGAACTGTGAGTAAGGTAGGGGCCTTTTATCAGAGCAGACCAAGTGTAGCAGGTTGTGTGACTGCCACTCACACTGTCAGTGGCAGTTTGGGTTTGAGGGTGTAATTTTGTATCCCAATCATTTCTTTCTTGGCCTCTGCCAAATAAATTTCTCCTGTTTTCAGTGGAGTTAGAAGAATATTGCAGAGGGTCTGCATTTCTCTGTAAGACCATGCGGGAAGGCCTAGGCTGACCTAAGGGCCAGCTCTTAAGGTCTTGAATTGTAAAGGCTTGTGCAATGGGTTCAGTTTAGTGGTAATTAATTTATGTTAAGGGAGGGAATTTGAGGGAATCTATTTACATTCTGGCCACTCAGATGGTAGAGTAAGTCCGCTAGAAAAGGCACGGTGTGCAGCAATGTCTTGGGGGTACAGCTCACGTAAACACCTTATTTCTAGCTTGGGAAAGGAGTGAGGATATTCTGTTCCTCTCCATCCCATGTGTCAGCCCAGGTGCCAAGTTTGATGCGGTCACCTCACAGCTCCTGATCCTTACATGAATCTTATTTGATGAGAGGTTTTCCTAGCTTCGGTTTGCATTGAAGATCACTGATGATCAGAATGGTTGGATAACCGCGGAGCTCCTCAGGATTGGGCTTGGCACTGTGTCGGGTTCCTCTGTAGCGATGAGACTGGCGCAGGAAAAGTTGTCAGCAGAAGGTCTACGTGTTGAGAAAGGAGAGTTTGAACATCAAGAACGAAGGTATGGGTGGGGTCCAGCTTGTATTCAGAACAATCAGGGGTGGTGGAGGTTCACATTCCCTTCCTGTATGCACGTGTTTGGTGGTTTGAACGACAATGGCCCTCAAAGGGAGGGGCACTGTTAGGGGTGTGGCCTTGTTTGAGTGGGTGTGGTCTTGTTGGAGGAAGTGTGTCACTTTGAGGTCTCAGATATATGCTGAAGCCACATCCAGTGAGACATGCTGCTTTCTGTTGCCTGCGTATCAGCATGTAGCAGCTACCTCTCCAGTGTCATGTCTGTCTGCATGTCACCATGTCCCACCATGGTGATAATGGGCTGAACTGTAAGTGAGCCACACAATTAAATGTTTCCTTTGTAAGAGATGCTGTGGTTGTGGTGTCTCTTCACAACAATAGGAACCCTAAGACTGTGAAATAGGAACCCTTCTGAGGCAGGTGAAGCTAGAGTTGTTTTTCCTGGTGACGTCATGGAGAGCACATTGCTGTTATGAGTGCTCGTTGTTAATGGACTTGCCACTTGGAAACAACCTCACAGACTTAAAAATTGCAAAAAACGAGAGAGCTGGGAACTCCACATCACATCATGGGCTTGCAGTACCTTCGGAGTGGGTGTTTTTCCCTTAACACGATGTTCAGATTGGATTTCACCCTCTTGCAAAATCATTGCAGTAACACAGTGACTCGTCGTCATCTGCTGGTTGTCAGGGCTCAGCTTATCTCTCTAAACCCACAAAGCCTAGGCCTTCATTGCCAAAGGATGGGATTGCCACCTTTACCGTCCATTCTTTTTAGTTGTTTTGTTTCCTTCTATAAGGACATTTAAACCACGTGAAAATCCAGCTGAAGCATAAAGCAAGCATGTATGTGTGCGTATTTGTAGTGAGTGACCTGGGAGTCCTGTCTCTTGAAGCAGGAAGAGTATGTGGGACACTTTTGAGCAATAACTTTAACCCCAAAGCAGATAATAACTTGAAAGTCTTCAAGGATATGTAAAAATTGGAAAAAAAAGCAAGTACAGAGAATGTGAGTTGGATATGGTTATGTAAATGGTTTCTCGATGTTTATGAGAACTCATTCTCATATGTTTTGTTTCTTTCTCCAGCATCACTGTGAAGACACTGTGTATGTCTCATGGCTATAGGCAATGAAGTAGAGAGAAACTTTTAAAGTAGAATTAGGATGTACTCTGGGGTCTAACTCAGTTTCTGTAGTTTGAACTTCTGTCATCTGCAGTGTGTTAGAAACGTGATTCCTTTAGTGTGTCTTTAGGAAAAGCTAAGTTTGATTGTTTCAATACAGAGCATGCCTATGTAGCCCACTCTGGCCACAAACCCTGGGTCCTCTGGCCTCAGTCTCCTCAGCTCTGGCATTATAAGAGTGCCTGGACCAGGAAAGGTGCCTGGGCTAGGAAGGTGTCTTTCAGTTTGGGCTGTAGTTACAAAATCAATATTGCTACAAGGCAGAGTGACTTGTGCAAACAGTGAACATGGATATGGACTTGAAGAGGGCTTGCACTAGGTAAAAACAATCTTGAGTCTTAGGAAAATTTTCCATTGGTAGGGCAAGCATGAGTTCTTTAGGATGTAGGCTTATTGAGAATATAGCTGTCCTGGAGTGGGAGACAGGGGCAGAGATTAACATCAGATGTACAACTGTCTCTGTTATCTTGATAAACTGTCAACAACTTTAACCCCAAAGCAGATAATAACTTGAAAGTAGACAGTTTTCTTTTTTGTTAGGAAAAAAAAACAAAAACAGTTGAGAAAATGAGTTTTAAAGAGATTCTGCAAATTAAATTTCTCCCACCGCACTTAGAATGGGTATAGCTCAATTTCTAGTTTGTCTTTATAAATAAAACCCGGAGTCAGATATAAGGGTTAATGCTGAAAGATTAGAGAAGCAGAGTAGCCAGTCACTCACTAGTTCTTACCTCTACTTAGGCAAATAATGCCATTGTATGCAGCCTTAGTTTGCAGCTCCCGTGTGTGTGTGTGTGTGTGTGTGTGTGTGTGTGTGTGTGTGTGTGTGTGTGTGTGTGTGTGAGAGAGAGAGAGAGAGAGAGAGAGAGAGAGAGAGAGAGAGACAGACAGACAGACAGACAGACAGACAGACAGACACTGGGCAGGGAGATCAACCAGGAAGACTGTGACTCCTCAGTGTCAAGAATCAAGGCAGTTTTCCTGTGAGTATGTAAGTCGTGGTTTTCTTCCCTGCTTTTCTGAAGTGAGAACCACGTGCTTCACTCCCATGGCTGCTCTGTTTACTGACTGGGACCAGAAAATAACAGAATGAAGAGGAAACCTGGTAAGGCTTTGCCTGGCCTCTCACACCTTTCCCCCTGGCTGCCCATCATTTCATGTATTGCACTGGACTGGAACGTGCTGGCTTTTTATGTAGCAGAGTAGCGGTACCGCAGTAGCTGCCTTGGCTGCTGCAGCCAGTCCTCACATGGCTGGCTTAACACAACATATCTTTAATGTACTGATGTTCTCAAGGTCGGAAGTCCAAAGTCAGACATCAGATTGTTAGAAGTGATGCTCTTTGCTCCATCCAAGACCCTGGGGGAGTCTGATTGCCCGCCTTGCTCAGCTTCATGGCTGCATACCTGAACCGCATCACAGAGGGCCCTCTTCCTCTATTATCAATCCCTGAGGCAGAGCTTCGTGCCCCAGTGGATCTGTTTCTTTCTTCTCTGATGAAATCACCAGCCCTGTCTGCCCCTCCTCTCCCCAATTTAAGGACACCAAGGATGGTGTTTTTCGGTAATTCAGGGTCATTCCCCTTGCCAGTATCCTTACTCATGTCTGCAAATGCCCTATGGCATGCAGGGGAGTATACTCACAGGCTCAGGGCGCATACATTCTTAGGCCTGTGACTTAGCATGCCATAGGCCCAAGGACTTCTGCACCCGTGTGATCCATGGCTATAAGCCAATGGCATAGGCTTAAGGCCTATACAACTATAACATTTGTTTCTTATTAAACCCTCCATTTTGGGATGGCAATATTATTCTTCAAAAAAATTGGAATTCTTCAAGATAGAGAAAAGTTAATTTGGTTTAAGTATAATAATTTTGAATCTGAAAATACCATGGTAAGTTCAGAGTATAATGGACATCATAAGGTCATTGTTAGAGGGCAGCTGTGGTGGGAAAAACTCAATGATTTGTCACAAGGATTTACAGGACTCAGAGAATCTGCTAAATGCAGTTCCATTTGTGATATGCTAGCAGGGGAGAGATGAATCAGTCAAGAGAGAGGTACAGGAGAGTCCACAAGCAAGATGCCGGGTGTGGTCCTCGGTACACTTGTACACATTCTCCTAGTTCCATATCTCATGGTGTGCTCTGAGCAGGTATCTCACAAGAAAATGGCAGGGAGCAAGGCTTTGTCTTGGCTCAGAGTGAGAATATAGTGCGTCAAGCGGGGAGAGCGTGGCAGCGGGAAGGGTCACAGCTGTGGCAGCGGAGCAGGAGGCTGCTTTCTCAGACCTTAGGAAGCAGAGATTGCACAGGGGCCAGACGAGAAACTTCAAGGCCCACAACCTTCCAAAACTGCCACACACCGGGACCAAGTGTGCAAACAGATGTGCCTGTGACGTGCATTTTACAATCTACTGTAGTGCACGAGGTAGTGTGTAAGTGGGTATTACACGCATAATTGCACACCATGGGTCTTGCCACAGCTGAGGGACACTGAACTTAACCCACAGTCACTAAGTTTACCTTGATTTAAACCTGAGATGGTATCAGATATCATGATAAATACCACATAAATGTGTACAAGTTTAATGTTTCTATATGTCTGTGAAATAAATTTAATAAAAATATAAATCTTCCAGTTCTATGAAAGCTGCTAGAATTTTTCTCAGCTGTTGTCTTAAAAGAATATGCTATCTTTATTGTGCTGGTCAGAAAACACCTGCTTTTGGACCCAGAGGGAAGCCTTTCCAGCTTCCAAGGCTGTTTATGCTAAGGTATCAATGCCCCACAGACACTGGGAGACCATAGGCAACTGTCTCTGAACTCTCTCTCTCTCTCTCTCTCTCTCTCTGTCTCTCTGTCTCTCTCTCTCTGTCTCTCTGTCTCTCTCTCTGTCTGTCTCTCTCTCTCTGTCTCTCTCTCTGTCTCTCTGTCTCTCTCTCTCTCTCTCTCTCTCTCTCTCTCTCTCTCTCTCTCTCACACACACACACACACACACCAATGCTTAAAACTGGGTGTGGTGGCTCATATCTTTAATTCCAGCACTTGGGAGGCAGCCTGGTCCACATAGTGAGCTCCAGGCAAGCCAGGAAAACATAGAGAGACCCTTTCTTTTCTTTCTTTCCTTCCTTCCTTCCTTCCTTCCTTCCTTCCTTCCTTCCTTCCTTCCTTCCTTCCTTCCTTCCTTTCTTTCTTTCTTTCTTTCTTTCTTTCTTTCTTTCGAGAGACCCTTAAAACCAAACAAGTAAGAAGACTTTGCGGGTGTAGACTAGAAGTCTGGGAAGATCCCTGTCTGCCCTTTCTGTCTTGTTTGTAAACACTGGACTGAACCATTGTGGCAGATCTGTGCCTTACCCATTGTTTTCCAAACAGCACAGTGTGTAGGGTGTGCATATGCCCAGTGAATGTTTGTTGACTGATGAATGAATGAAGATCTTTGAAAATTCTGCCTCTCCTTGGGAGAGAATGCAGACTTGCTGGGTGTTTGCTGACAAGTTTGTTCAGGCCGGTGGTCCTGTGTAGTCTGCAGGTGCATAATAGCTCCCCCTCACACACACACAGCAAAAGCTCTCAACTGAACTGATATTTTGGGAGCGTGTTTTGACAGTAAAATATACCTTTAGGAGATGAACTCAATGGAAGAAGGAAGAGACTGGGAGCTGGTGAGGTGCTTCAGTGGACAGAGGCGTTTGCACACGGTCTGATAATCCCAGAACTCTCCAAAGGGCTGAGACCGGAACTGACTTCCTGGGTTGCTCTCTGCGCTGCACACATGGCAATGACAATACTAGCCATACTCATAGCAGGAGGAGAGCGAAAGAGGAACAGAGGGGTTTGAAGAGTGTGGTAGGTTTTAGAGGCATATATGCTGTTAGGCTTGGAAGGTTTTTTTTTTAAAGATTTACTTATTATTTATTATGTATACAGCATTCCGGCATGCATGCCTACATGACAGAAGAGGGCACCAAACCTCTTTATACATGATTGTGAGACAACATGTGGGTGATAGGAATTGAACTCAGAACCTCTGGAAGAGCAGACGTTGGCTCTTAACCTCTGAACCATCTCTCCAGCCCGCTTGGAAGGTTTTTAAAAAAAAATGTTACATACATTACCTACATAAAAGAAGATTATATGATCTTTGCAATGGTTACTGCCTGTGATTCTGTATGATGTCTGAAAATAGTAGTTTCTTGCAGCTGGTCTTGACATTCATTAAAGAAAAACTCTGTAACAGATGTGCATGGCCCTCTGTGAATCTGTGTAACAATGGCTTTTATATGCCATTGGCATCAGATGGCTAAGAAGCGATTTTAATGTTCTGTTAGGTTCTTTAAAACGGGGGATGGATTCAGGTCTTCATTGTTGAGGCTGTGAAGCAGCCATCCAGATGTGGGGTCTGGGTGCTGCTGTGCCAAGAGTAAGGGCACATGGAAAGAAGGCAGAGAGGCAGGCTCGCCTCACAGCCCGTTACACATCTGGACCCAACTCCCGTCTCCACTCTCTGATCTGGACACTTCTGCCCCCTGCAGAATGAATTAGCTTGACATTTTATCAACTATTTGGAAAGTGGGGTGAGCGATGCGGGGTACATCAGAGTGGTGAAGCTGAGCAGATTGGACAGAGAGCCGACTATCTCTCATCTCATCTGCTCCGGAGCCAGCCGAGGCTAACTGGGTGTCTGTCCAGTTTCCGTCTGTCTGGCTGCCTTCGCGGTACACGGATATGAGCATGTCCAGTCACTTTCAGTATCATGCCCAGCCGTCGGTTTCTTAACCGTGCCAAACCAGGACACCACGTGACTTACCTACCATAAATAACTTCGAGTGGACTTCTTACACATTTTCTATAAACATCACTGCTCCATTGAACACCTGCAAGATTGGATTCATGATTTTCATAAATATAGCTAGAAGGAAAGAATCAAAACTTCTTTTTTGATAGCTTAATAAAATGTTGATAAAGAGTATAACTTGCAAGTAGCTTTGCGTGGTGCTGTTCATATGTGTTTATGGTTGGGGGAAATGACCTGTAAATCATGACTTTCTTTGGATTGTATGTCACTTCAGAAAATAACTCAGAGTTATCCCATTTACTTCTATAAATTGAGATTAGTATTCCATTGAGACTAAATTATGTACAGCTAATGATTATTTTTGGATGTCTTCCAGAGACAGATGGGGCCGTATTTAGAATCCACATAACAGCTGAAGGACAGGTGGGCGAGGAAGTGCCCCTTGAGCTGCTGTTCCGTTTACCAGCCGGTTACCCTTCGTGTCTACCCGGCGTCTCGGTTAGCTCCACACATCTGACCCGGGCCCAGTGCGCTACCGCGAAGGAGAAGTTACTTGAAGAAGCCAGGAAGCTATTGTCAGAACCAATGATTCATGAGCTGGTTCTTTGGATTCAGCAGAATCTCAGACACATCCTCAGCCAACCAGAGGCCGCACGCAGCGGTGAGAAGCCCACTTGGCCGGAAACCGCAACTGATGACGGGTTGTGGCTAACGCTCCTGCATTTAGATCACATGAGAGCAAGGACTAAATATGTCAGAACTGTGGAGAAGTGGGCTGCAGACTTAAGGCTGACGGGAAGATTGATGTTCATGGGTAAAACAATACTCATCTTACTGCAAGGAGACAGAAGCGACATCAAGGTGCCCCAATTTAATGTGGGATAGGAATCCGCTTACTCTCTGCTAAACATGGTGTATCTTTAAGTGTGTTTTATACCAATGGGATAGATGAAGCATGGTGTTTCTCCTGACCCTGTTATCATGTTAAATGGTACTTCGTTTTTTTTTTAATTCTGTATTTATTTATTTTATGTGTATGGGTATTTTGTCTGCATGTTTGTCTGTGCTCACAGAAGCTAGAAGAAGAAGGTATTGGAATCCCTAGGACTGAAGCTGCAGATGGCTTGAGCTGTCATGTGGGAGCTGGGAACTGAACCCAGGTCCTCTGGAAGAGCACCATGCTCTTGACCACTGAGCCGTTTCTCTATCCACCCCTCAGTTCTTTGTAGAGATGAGTATCTAGTTCCTACAACAACTATAAACCTTCAAAGTAGGTATAAGATTACAAACTTTATACTGTAAATATTATGGTACTTAAAGTGGCAGTTTTGAACAATATTTATTTGCACTTTTTATGTGTATGGGTGTTTTGCCTGCATCTATGCCTGTGCACCTTGTAGGTGCAGTGACAGAGGAAGCCAGAAGAGGGCATAGGATCCCTTGGAACTGGAGTCATAGGCAGCTATTAGCTGCCATTTGGGTACTGGGAATCAATCAAACCCAGGTCCTCTGAAAGAGCACTGAGTGCTCTTAACCTCTGAGCCGTCTGTTCAGCACCAGCACCAGTTTTTGAGAATGAACGTCCCATGACGTGTGTTTGTTTCGTATTAATGATAAGCTGCAACTGTGTAAATGAGCACTAAAAGCTTGCACATACTAATTTTTCCATAGCTCAGCACAGCAAGGAGTATGTTTGTGAGTAGCCTGCAAAATTCCTAACTTGCAGGCACTAAAAGTGCACCCTGACACTTGAATGCTGTATCTGTAGTGTCTGAGAGGAAGGCTTGTCCGTTACAGGGGAGAGCCAGCCTCAGAAGAAGCAGGGTCGTTAGGACTGTCAGCGCATCAACACCTCCCCAACGCCTTTCCACCCGACTTGTCTCAGCAGTGGCTTTCGGAGCCGTCATCCTGAGGCTTCCACGCTCTCATCCCAAAGCTCCCTAGCCTGTTTTATGAGGAGCTAGACAAGGAAAGCTGCTTATTATGTTTTAAACCTTAAAAGAGCTACAGGTCGTGTAGTAAGTGTTACACTGCCAGGCACAGTCGCAGAAGATTTTATTGAAAACAGGTTTAGCACCAACAGCCTGTGCTCACAGAGCTTCACTGAATAACAGTCCCGAGTTTTTCCAAGGTGGGTTCGTACCACAAATCTTTGACATTTGCTTAACCAGGTCCATGCTGGGTTCTGGTGTAGACAGAGAAAGAAGCCAGACTTAATCTATAGCCTGCAGTGGGGCCTCGCCAAGGAACCTCAGAGTTTGAGGCAATCTGTGTGTCTATACTTTGATCCTTCAGGTAACTAGCCGATGGCAACGGGTACAAGTCCCTTGCTCACATTTACCCAAGGCTCTGGTTGTCTGTGACCAGCTCAGGCACATTAGGATAAATGCGGTGCCTTACAGTTGTCACCCAGACAGAATCGTGAATTACTAACATGTATCCATTCTTAAGACTACAGTTCCACTAGTTCAGAGACTTCCTTCATATGACTTTCTCTAGAATAGAATGTCATTTTACATGAATTTCTCCGTTAAAAGTTTTTATAAGACTGTGTCCTGGCTTCAGGAATGTGCAGGTGCATTTATAGGTGGCCAGGAGGTGGTGTGTGTCTGATGGCCCCATTCTGGCTGGCTTGGCAATAGCAGTGGTTGCGATTACTATGTAGCGTCCATGCTCTGGGAGGCAGTCGTTCCTGGAGTGCTCTGTGTCTGTTGTCCCAGCTTGACTAGGAGGTGACCCTGTTGTAAGTCTGGTTGTATGGAGTCAGTTATCTAAGGCTCAGAGCTTAAGTGACTCGTCTGAGTGACTGCTTTAAACAGCCGAGGGCTTAAATAACCCTCTAGTAGCCGTGCAGTCCAGATTTGAAGGTGGGCACTTGGTTGTTACTGCTCTTTCCACCTGCGTTCCGTGGAGCAGGGTTGGCCATCTTTGTGAAGTCCGTGTAAGTCTTACTGCTCCATTCTGAGAATGCTCCTTAAGCAGCAAGGGGCTTGTGGGTATGGTTCCTCTAGAACACGTCTGTGCTGTTCAGCCTGGGCTCTGCACTTAACATACTGATTATCCTTTAGGAGTACCTGATTCTTCAGAAAACCTCCAAAGTCGATGTGGACTCAAGTGGAAAGAAATGCAAAGAGAAAATGATTAGTGTACTCTCTGAAACAAAAGTACAAACGGAACACAAAAGGTATAATTTAGTGCCACTGCAGATGCAGAAGCTACTGAATGGGTAATTACCCTCTGACAAATCTCCACATATTCATGAGCTTCTCTCGTATAATGCAGGTTTCTGGCGTTCGAAGTCAAAGAGTATTCAACACTGGAGGAGTTACAAAAGGAATTTGAAACTGCAGGACTTCGGGAGCTCTTCTCAGAATGTGTGCTCGGGCTGGTAAAATGAAGAGAATGGTGGGAGCCGTCTTGTTGGAGTTTCCACTGCCTTTGGGGAGGGCTCGTTGAATGGTCATAAGAGAGCAGCTTAAAGTTTCTCTGTAGCAAAATTGTTCCCATTCCAGGAAGGAAGAGAGTTCTGTTTTATGGAATGTTAAACACAGAAAGACCCCACATATTCTAATGTTTGCTGGAGAAGACTGGGCTCAATGGATGAATTATCTGAAGGAGAAATAAAAAATCACGGCGGGAAACGAGCTGTTGTTTTTATATAGACAGTTTGTTTAGAAGTCTGCAATTTTCAGGCTAATTTTCTTGTAATTAAATGATTTCTTAAAGTGGTTTGTTTTCATGTTTACTTTCTCGTGTTTACATTTTTGGCATTTAATCATGATTCCTCCCCATTCTGCTTATTATGTCTAATGTTTTAAGTTGAATGTTGGGAAAAATCTAACGCCAGTATCTTGGTGCAGTTGTATAAATCACTGGATTAAATACAAAACCAAGAAGTTTTACAGAACCCAGTTACTTTTTAGGGTTCCAGGGTGACATGGTATTGCTAGCGTAAGACTACATAGTAAGTTTAAGTTAAAATTCTTTTTTTTTAAAAAGATTTTTTAAAAGATTTATTTGTTCATTATGCATACGGTGTCTTGTCTGCACGTATGATATGCAGGCCAGAAGAGGGCACCAGATCTCATTACGGATGGTTATGGACCACCATGTGGTTGCTGGGAATTGAACTCAGGACCTCTAGAAGAGCAGCCAGTGCTCTTGGCCTCTAAGCCATCACTCCAACCTTAAGTTAAAATTCTTATTTGAAAAATATAATTTCTGGTTTTACGAGGGAAATGTGTTCAACAACGTGAACCTGGTTTGCTGGATAGGAAAACAAAACAAAACCACAAAAACTACAGCTACTAATTGTGAAATCTTTCAAATAATGATAAAATATACTTATTATTACTAAGGGGAGATAAACTTGCAAAATAATCATCTGTATTAAAATTTATAATGAAGAGTAAGAGGGCCCCTGTGGAAGAAGGATGAGGGACTCCCTCGCCCTGCACCCTGTGATGAGGTGATCTGAGCACAACAAATGTGTGCATGCATGAACATGTATGGAGGTGCGTGTGTGCACTTGCCCCATGTATGGAGGCCAGAGGTCAGTGTTGTATGTCTTCCTCAATTGCTCTTTATTCTTTCTTTTTTATTTTTCAAGACAGGGTTTCTCTGTGTATCCCTGGCTGTCCTGGAACTCACTCTGTAGACCAGGCTGGTCTTAAGTTCAGAGATCTGTCTGCCTCTACCTCCTGAGCGCTGGGATTAAAGGTGTGCACCACCACTAACTGGCTGTTATTTTATTCTTCTTAGTTAGAAAACATGGTGTAATTTTACTTTTGTGTGTGGGTGTTTGTCTGTCTGTATGCCTGTGTGCACTGCCTAAGGAGGCCAGAAGAGGGCTGGATCCTCTGGAACTGGAGTTACATGTGGTTGTGGGGCCTAGGAACAGATCCTGGGTCCTCTGGAAGAACAGCCAGTGCTCTTAACCACTGACCTATGTCTAGCCCTTCTTACTGTTTGAGGCAGAGTTTCTCACTGAACACGGAGCTCACTGTTTTGCCTAGGCTGGCTGACAAGCAGCCCCTGCTGTCCTTCTGTCTCCACCCCAGCGTTGGGGTTACGGGGGTTACAGGCGTATGGCACTGTGCCAGGCTTTTCATGAGTGCTAGGGATTCGAGTCAGGCTGTCATATTTGCAAAACAAGCACGTTACCCAGTGAGTCCCCTTCCTCGCACCATAAGGAATGTTTCTTGGAATTGTTGTTCTATGACCATGATGCTTCTCTTAGTTAGGGTTTTTATGGCTGTGAAGAGACATCATGGCCATGGCAACTCATAAAGAAAACATTGAATTGAAGGTGGCTGGCTTATAGTTTCAGAGAGTCTATTATGATCCTGATGGGGAGCATGGCAGTGTGGTGCTGGAGCTGAGAGTACTACATCTTGCCGGCAACAGAAAGTCTACTGACTGTTATGCTGAGGGAAGATTGAGGAAGAGACTTCAGAGTCCGCCTCCACAGTGACACGTCCTCCAAGAAGGCCTACCTCCTAATAGTGCCACTCCCTTTGGGGTTTGCTTTCTTTCAAACCACCATAGTGGTTCAGTGTGAGTCTTTCTTATCCTACTGTTATTGCACCGTGTTCACCCAGTGATCTTCTTATGAACCTCTGTTAACCAGCGTTGATTTTCAGTTTCTTTTTTTTTTTTGGTTTTTCGAGACAGGGTTTCTCTGTGGCTTTGGAGGCTGTCCTGGAACTCGCTCTGTAGACCAGGCTGGCCTGGAACTCACAGAGATCCACCTGCCTCTGCCTCCTGAGTGCTGGGATTTTCAGTTTCTTAAGTCATGCACAAAGGTGTTTAGTTTTTTTCCTCAAAGAACTGACAAATGCAGTTAGACTGTCCCAAGGGAAGAACACATGTGACAAATTGAAGATGCCCTACTTGGATACCAAACTGAGAGAGGACTCTTATTTAGGACTGGACATTATTAACCTTTTGCTTGATTTACTGTGATTTTAGCAAAAATTAAAACAGGGCAGAAACAGAACTGAGAGTTCTGTGCACATGGTTGAGCTGAACCGGAAGGGACTGTAATACAACATTGTTAAAGGCCATTGTCATGAGGATCTTAGCCATAAGAGCAGGAGGTTCAGCTTGAACTTTATCACAGCAGAACTGGTCTTCTTCCATGACTCTTCTCGGCTCAAATGCCACCTGTCCCATGCTCTGTGGCACATTGTCAAAATTTTATCTTCAGGGTTCACTCTGTATCCCTGAAAAGGGGCTTGGGCAATAGTGCTCTTTCTACTTCATTATGTTTCTGTCTGTTAAAGTTATGTAAACAGTATTAGTTATTGCTTTCTTATATATTTGTGTTTAAGTCTTTCACAAATACATCTACAGCCAGAATGGAACATGACATTTTGACAGTGTTTGAGAAATTAAACTTGACCTTGGGATAAAAGCAAGTTTTAACCAAGAAGCTCTAAGAGTCTCTTTGATTTTCTTTTAAAAACTTATTTATTTATTCATGTATGTATGTGTGTGTATGTGTATGTATGTATGTGTGTATGTGTGTATGTATGTGTGTATGTGTGTATATGTATGTGTGTATGTGTGTGTGTATATGTATGTGTGTATGTGTGTGTATGTGTATGTGTATGTATGTGTGTGTATGTGTATGTGTGTGTATGTGTGTATGTGTGTATATGTGTGTGTATGTGTGTATATGTATGTATGTATGTGTGTGTATGTGTGTGTGTGTGTGTGTGTACTTGTGCTAAAATGTGAAAGTGAAGTCAGAGGACAGCTTGCAGAGGTTGGCTGCCCACCCCCATTATGAGGGTCGTGGGAATGAAACTCGTGCAGTTAGAATGGCTATATCATCTTGATGGCCCTGTATTGCTGTAGAGCACTGGTTCTCAACCTGTGGGTCACCACCCCAACAAACCTCTGTCTCCAAAAATATTTATATTACAATTCCTAACAGCAGCAAAATTATAGTTTTGAAGAAGCAGTGAAAATAATTTTATGGTTGGGTATCAGCACAACATGAGGAACGGTATTATGAGGAACTGTATTAAAGGGTCACAGAATTAGGAAGGTTGAGAAGCACTGCTTTAGAGGAAGACAATCTTAATTGTTTCCACTGATATTTTTTTTCTCAAAATCTGTAGCTGTCCTTTCAGCTATGGCAAGCTAACTAGCTTCTGATTTCTTTTCTCTTTTTTTCTTTCTTTTTGATATAAGGTCTCTGTTTCTTTTTGATACAAGGTCTGGCTGTTCTGGAACTTGCTGTGTAGACCAGGCTGTTTTTGAATTTACAGAGATCCACCTGCTTCTGCCTCTCAAATGCTAGGATTAATGACCTACACCACCATATCTGGTGACTTACTATTTCTAAAGAGCAAACCAGCTTCTCATAGAAGAAAGTTAAAAGCAAAATCAAACACTTCCAAATTCTCAAGTCAAGAAGACAGAACTGTAAGGAAAGAGGAACTCCTGCTTTGTGAACTTGGATACCTTAGTTTGAAAGAGTTGGCGGGGTTGACTTGGTTTTCACTAGTTTGAAGACTTAGGAAGTAAAGATTTGGGCTATGGGGAAGAGAAGAGGTGGTAACTACCTAGAGCTCCTGAAGTACTGCTGTAGGAGGAAGGGTAAGTCCAGTGAAGCAGGTGGCCTAGGTGACAGATAAGCTTGGAGCATTCTGATTAGCTCTAGAAAATTGTAGACCTTAAGGAGATCTGAGATTCCAAACCTCTCAAATCTGCTCAATCTTCTTTGGGGGAAAATATCATTCTTATAATCCTCAAATTTTATCTATGAATTATTCCAAAATCCAGTGTCCAACAAGTAATGAGAGGTAGCTGGCTACACCGAGAAACAAGAACAGAAACAGGCTCTCAGGTAGAACAGAATAACACCAAGAATTCCTGGGATGTTACAATGATGTCTTAGGGATTCTATTGCTAAGACGAGACACTGTGACATGGCAACTCCTATGAAGGAAAACATTTATTTGGAGCGGCTCACTTACAGTTCAGAAGTTCAGTTCATTATCATCATGGTGGGACATGGCGGTTAGCAATCAGATATGGTGCTGGAGAGTAGCTGAGAGCCCTACATCTTTCAGGCAACAGGAAATGGTCTCAGTGTCACATGGAGGGAAGCTTGAGCAAAAGAGACCTCAAAGCCCACCTCCACAGTGACACACTTCCTTCAACAAGGCCATATCTACTTCAACAAGGCCACACCTACTATTAGTGTCACTCCTTTTGGGGGCATTTTCTTTCAAACTATCATGCATAGTTTTTGTCTATTTGGCACAATATAGACATACCTGGGAAGAGAGAATCTCAATTAATGAATTTTCTCCATCAGATTGGCCTGTTACCATGTCTGTGGGGGAATTTTATTGATTAGTAATTGATGTAACAAGGCCAAGCCTGCTGTGGTAGGCAAAGTCCTAGGTTCCTCCATGGCCTCTGATTCAGTTTTTGCTTTGGCTTCCCTTGATGACAGACTATACCCTGTAAGGCAAATACCCCCCCCCCAAGTTGCTTTTGATCAGTGTTTTATCATAGCAGCAAGAGCAAACTAATGCAGATGGTTAGTCAGTGAAGGTCCATTTAGGAAATCAAATGAATCTAGGTACTTCAAGAAGAGTGTCTTTAAGATAGGCATTGGTCATGGATGAGAAACACTGGGAAGCAAAAGGGAGGGCGAAATGAGGATTGATATGAGGAGTGTGGTCCACTCAGCTTAGAACTCCTTAACCAGTACACTGTCCAGTTTTAGCCACCAAGCATCCATACACAGTCTTCTATGCAGCCTTAAATTTCTGCTCAGCAACAATAGTTTTACTTGTTTAAATGAATTTAAGTATATAAATAGGTGTGCTTATGTTTCTAACTGTTTTTTGGACACTGGTGAAACTCTCACTTTCTTCCCCTTAAAGGGAAACATAAAATCTTAACAGCTACTATTATCTTCATTAGAATTAATTCTTCTGGTTTTATTTATAGTCTCTCTTGAATATTCTGTAATTCTAACTGTAAAGATCATCACCACCACCACCTTTAGTGAAAAGTGACAGGGTGTGCATATTTGGAAAGAATAGTTATTATATACACCGATAGACAGGACAAGCACTGGAGAGAACCTTTATAATTATGTTGTACTGTGGTTGATATTTATAACTTCTTTATTTGAGGTTTTTCTTCAGTAGCCATCATCTTCATTCTGGAAGACTGAGCCCTTAATAGTTGAGTTGCTTACTAACTTTGTTAAATTGGAGAGCTTGACAAGGCCATATTGAGTACTGATAGGTTCCTCAGAGCCTCTGTTGACTCCAAAGTGTAGCAGCAAGCTGATCTTCCTTTAAGAACCTCACCACTCACCCCAGCCTGTACAAGAACTTCTCTGTGGTTTAGTGACTTAGGCAGTCCAGTGTATTTGTCACTCTTGGCTTTCAGTTTACTTAAACCATTTTATGTGCTCTAGTAGAAACATTCTTGGTAACATTAATAAGTTCTGTGAGAGAGTTACTACCTGGAATATTGGAAACAGTCTTATTTTATCTCTTAAGTCCTGGCTCTATGTCCTGAAGGAGGAGTGGGTGAGATAGCAGTTTTTGATAACTGGCATTTTTTGATGTATGCTTTACATTTTATATGACAGCACCTCAGCGTTGGAGGATCTTGTCCCCTTCCTGCTCCAATAACTGAGTCTTTGTAGGTTACTCTATTACTCTTTTAAGTTAAACATGCCTAGGTGGAAAGCCCTATGAATTTCCCAGTCATGTCTCATTGCTACATCCTTTTGTTGGGAAACAAGTCCCTTATTTGTCAGTTGCATTCCCATTTGTGCAGGGCACCAAGTCTATCAGATCATACTTGATGGGTACTACAGAAAGAGACTTCAGGTTCATAGCCTGAGTGTGATGCTTTTTCCTGATTGTCAACTTGACTGGATCTCAAATCAAGGAAGACACATGCCTCTGAGACTGATGATGGAATTTCCAGGAAGGTTAGCTGGGAGAGAATGCCCTCCAACCTCCCTTAGTGGGCAGCACTCTCTATCGGTGGCCCAGAAAGAAAACGATTTGAGGAGAAAACAGTGCTGTTTGCTTACCTGCCTTCACATCTTGCTGGTGAGTACATTGGTTCCACCATCCCTCATTGACACCAGAACCCAGCTTCCTTGGCCTTCCATGATTCTCCAGGCCTACAGCAACAGACTGGGAAACGCTGAGGCGTGCTCTCATCTTGAAATTATCCTCCTTAAAAGGGGGAGGGCCACTAAGATGGTAGTTTGCAGACAACAATTGTTGGATTACCCAGTACCAATTGTGTAAGCCTGTTGAGTAAATCCCTTTTTATAATAGTCATTCTTTTGCTTGTGTTCCTCTAGAGATCCTGACTAACACATAGAAGAATTATCTATGTATAATTGCTGAGCCTTGCATTAGAGAAGGAGGCCAATGTGAGTCAGTGGTAACTAGGTTGCTGTGGTTTCCAGGAAGTGAGGCCTCTTTGGTGATTCAGCTTTTTCAGAATTATTCTTCACAGGTAGGCACTTGGAAGTGACAGTAGTAAGTTCAAGTTGGTGAAAGAAAGTTGACGTTGTTGAGTTCATGTATGACCCCCATTCCCACTCACCTGTGTACTTTGTAAACGAGCCCACTGAGCGAACTGGGTGCCAGGGCCACAGCCTGGCTGACATCTAGGGTAAGTTATCCTATGGGTTAGTGAGGGTCTCCTTTGCAGTGGTTGACCTTGGATGAACATCCCATGAGACACAAATGTCTTCACACTTTGTGCTCAGTTGACAGGGACATTTATATACCTCTCCTCATATTTCCTGATGTGTCCTTGTACCAGCTGGTTTTGTGTGGCAACTTGACACAAGCTAGAGTCATCAGAGGAAGGAGCCTCAGCTGAGGAAATGCCTCCATGAGATCCAGCCGTAAGGCATTTTCTTAATTAGTGATCAGTGGGGGAGGGCCCAATCGGTGGTGGGTGGTGCCATCCCTGGGCTCTATAATAAAACAGGCTGAGCAAGCCATGGGAAACTAGTGAGCAGCTCCCGTCCATGGCCTCTGCATCGGCCCCTGCCTCCAGGGTTCTGCCCTGTTTGAGTTCCTGTCCCTACTTCCTTCACTGATGAACAGCATTGCTGAAGTGTAAGCCTAATAAACCCTTCATCCCCAAGTTGCCTTTTGGTCGTGGTGATAGAAACCCTAAGACAGTCCTTTTGCTTCTGACTGTCAGGCTAGCTTGTTAGCATTTGCCCATGGAATGCCGTGGAGTCACACCTCTGACCTCTGGCTATCTTTTCACCTGTATGAAGTGTATACTCAGGAGCACTGATCCAAGGAGATTTATTTGCACTTATGTCGCTCAAAGACATTGGCATTGGAGTGACCATTGCTGAAGCCTATTGTGGAGTGCCATATACAACAGGCCTGAAGTTGGCCTTTCTCAGTTAACAAGGGATTGCATTCACCTTCTTGAGTGTGCACTGGGGAAGAAGAAGCTGTCTAGGAGGAAACACTAAAGACAGTGTGGCCACACTTGCTCTTGCGGCTTCCATGCCCCTCCAAGACTGCTGTTACCGACCCTGTACACACTACTGTGCAAACCCAGCTTTAGGATGAAAATTGTGTATAGTTCATGCTATGTAGTCAGGTTTCAGGGATCCAGCTCCAAAATGGTTAACCAGTTTCACATGGATCCCACTAGCGCGTTCATATTTCTTTTTAAAATTTAACATTTATGGTTTTGTAAAAATTCACATTTACTTGTTTATTTTGTGTGTATGGGTCCCAGGTCGTTTGCAATACAGTTTGGAGCCCAAGTCCATTCTTACTCTGGGCCCCACTCGAATAGACCACTTCAAGGACTAACCAGGAAATGGTTCAAACAGGCTTTATTGCTTTCAAACTCCAAGGGTTCCTAGGAACACACCTTAATGGTGAGAGTACTGGGTGAAACTCTCTACCCATCACACAGTCACATCGTGAGATACAAAAGAAAATACCAACCTGGCAGGCTTCTAAATTTTTCTTAGCTCCTTCCCTCTTAGAAATAGGAATCTTCCAACATGTTTGAAAGACTTTTTACTTCCTGTTTGCCAGGTTCTACGGGATTCCAAGTGGGATGTTCAAACGAACGTGGCCTTTGAATACTGAGTTGTGACACAGAGCCAGAACACTGATAACATTTTAAAGTAAGACGGATTCCTGGCGAGAAAGTGTCACTGTGTTTGCTTCTAGTACTCTTTGCAAATTGATATAATGAAAAAAAATTTTTTTCACATCCAGAGCTGGATACCAAGTATTCAGAGTTAAGTTGACGTGCTCCAATATAAGATTGCATTTGAGGCTTCATGGTGAGATGTTGTCCCCCAAACTAAACCAAGTTAAACAAAACTAACCAACAAATCAACCAGCCAAAAAACTCCAGAGCTAATGTTTGAAAACTGCCAGTGCTCCACAAAAAGTACAAAGAAGTAGAGAAGTCATTTGAGGTAATGCTGCTTACTTAGCACAGTGCAGGTGAGTGAACCCAGGGTGTGGTGCATGCTAATGAGGACAAATGCTTACCACTGAGCCGTATCCCCAGTCATCACCTCAACCGATTTGATGCCTCAGTCAATCTGCTTTCCACCATTAAGTTCTTAAAACATCGTGTGTGTGTGTGTGTGTGTGTGTGTGTGTGTGTGTGTGTGTGTGTGTGTGTGAATGTGGGCACACCATAGCATAGCACATGTATAGAAGTCAGAAGACAATTTCAGGAGTCAGTTCTTTCCTTCCACCATGGGGTCCTGAGGATTGAACTCAGATCATCAGACTTGGCAGCAAGCGTCTTTCCCCTCTTGAGTCATCTTGCCAGCCCAACCCCCACCATTTCATTTTAGACTAGACTGTTTTTCTCCAAATCACCTGGTTTATAGGTATTAATTCTGAACACTGTATGAAATTATTTTGCCTTACTTCTTTTACCTTTTTAATTAATTTTTTTTTACGAGACAGGGTTTCTCTGTATTGTTTTGGAGGCTGTTGGTCCAGCCTGGCCTCGAACTCACAGAGATCCGCCTGCCTCTGCCTCCCGAGTGCTGGGATTAAAGGCGTGTGCCACCACCGCCCGGCTTAATTAAAATTCTTAAGAGAGATGGAACTAGTAGGTTTTAGAAATAAACATGTATTTTCCTATCACTGGAGGGACATATTCATGCTTACTTCAAGGAACTGGCTTATGTGATTGCAGAGCCTGACAAGTCTAAAATATACAGAATGGCTTGGTGGTCTGGAAACTAGAAAGAGTCAATGTTGGAGTCTTAAGTCCCAAGTTTGTCAGCCTGGAGACACCAGGATGGGTTTCTGTTGCCACTGAAGCCAGGAGGAGTTGGCTGGCAGTATTCACCTTCCCATAGAAGATCAGTCTTTTGTTTTATGTGGGTCTTCCATTGATTGGGTGAGACCCAGCCCCACTATGGAAAGCAATCTGCTTTAATCAAAATCCACTGGTCTTAACAGAAGCATCCAGAATAATGTGTGGCCACATACCTGGCCTGTTCAAGGTAAAGCCTGAAATCAGCTATTTTAAGAAATGACCCACAAAAGGTCCTGCCTTTAGAGGGAGGACTGTGGCTTTCACCTCATACCAACCTAATGCTTTACAGTCCCTTGCTTCCTCACCATGTTCTCACGGCTTTAAAACAGCAAATGCTGGCGGGAACCTATAGTAGCATTGCTAAGAAGACATCGTTGTGGCAAGCTAAAAACTTGATGCACTATGCCCAGAATGGTTCCTCTTGAGTCAGAGCTGGCTGTAAAAATGGATTCCACACAACTACATTTCTGGTTGCATAAGAGTAGAAAAAGTATGGACATTCATGATGCTGTCTACGAAGTTACAATTCAGATTTACCCTTCAGGTCCTGGCATCTCCTGAATGCTAGACACCTGTTTCTAACTCTGTCTATACAAGCCAGATGTTCCCTTGCACCCCAATCAACATTACTAAAACAAACTTACTAGCAGTCTATTTTTCTTGATGCTGCTGTTGAAAACACTGCCGTTAGGTCCCAAGAATTCATCTTTAATTTTCCTTTGATTTTTTTCCCCCCTCATCCTGTTACATCCAAATAGCTGTCACATCTGGTTCACAGAGAGTCTTGCCTTCAGCCATCTTTTCTATTCCCATGGCTACATTTTGCCTCCGGTTCTTTTTCTTTTTTTCCTGGCTAGAACTATTTGGAATCTCGGTCACTTCAACTTCATTCTTTTCTTTCGGTCCCATCCACTGTCACTGGGGATGACCCCTCACTAAAAATGTTAGGTGTGTTAAAGCAGATTGTGACTTCACTTTTTAGATTTTTTTTTAAGAAACACAGTGTGTTGAATATATATACAATGTAGTTTACAAAGTCTCTCCTAATTAGAACTTGTCCAGTACCCCATGGTGAAATCCAGCTATTCATTTAGTGAAGCGTGAGTGTCATACTAAGTAGAACAAAGAGTACAACAAACTCACATTGCCTTAGACTAAACTTGATGCCAAAAGAATTCAGAGCAGATTGGCTTTTATCTCCAAATAAACGATCTTTAAAAACAAAGGTTTGAGAAGATGAGCATAGACATACCATCAGTCTGGAATCAGAGGTAGGTGGATCTCTGTGAGTTCCAGGTCAAAAACAACAAAACAAAACAAGAGTTTGGCAAAACTAGCCCTATACTTTTGATTTTCGACTTTTTGGGTTTTAGAATTATGAACAGGAGATGGCAGGCCTTGCCTGATTTCTCAGATAAATCTTTCTCAACTAATCACATATGACTTGTTCCTACGATATTGCAGACTCTTACTTTGCTATTTCAGATATTGTAAACTGCTCCTCAGTTTAACACCCAAACACCGTTTCACTTTTCAGCTATATATCCTTTCCCTGCCTCACATAAAATGGTCAGTGATTCCTGGTTTCCCTTCTTCTGACTATGCTCAGGTCTGTGTTCATCTTGCCCAGTCTTCTCCCACAGTCTTTTGACAGCTGTCCTGTGTTTCTGTATAAACTGTGTGGTCCTTTTCTGGAATCTCTAGTTGTCTTCTCATCTAAATTCTGGTAGCAAACTGCAGTTTTTCCATATGGATGGTCAGGGTAACAATACTGTATCTCTCAGCCTTGGTGTAGGTTCAACAATGTAAAGCCACCAAGCACACAGCCATAGCTAGCTGGAATAAGCACTTCCTGTTTCCTCTTTTCTCCCTTCCTTTTCTTAGTACACACTGTGGCCTTGTCTCCTCCTCCCTCTTCCTTCCTCCATTCCTCCTCTGTTTTGTGGGGCTGGGGTTGGAATACAAAGCCAAGTGTACGCTATCACTGTGATACACCTCTAGTCTTGTGCTTTATGTTATAGGTCCCTTTTAATAAAAAACTTATGAGTATGAGAGTTCTGCCTGCATGTGCACAAGTACTCTTAGAGATACCCAGTCAGTTGGCGTTACAGATGGCTGTGAGGCTTTGAGTGCATTCTGACAACCAAATTCCAGTCTTCTGCAAGAATAGCAGGTGCAGAGCCATCTCTCCAGCCCCTGTTATAGTCTGAAAAGGTATTTTCTCCCATTATAAACCCAAGGGTAGAATCTGGCTTATTAGAGGGCTAGACTAAACTGAGTTCAGGGAGTGAATATAATGGAGTTATGGCAGAAGCTGCATCCTGCCTTCCCCTCCCCTAGATTTGGGCTTGTGGAGGTTTATAAAAACACGAAGGAAACAAGACCCACGATCACAGTCATGTCTTCAGAAGTCCCCTTGGTAGCATTTGTGCTGCCTGCCATCCAGTGTGACTGCCGTGTAGTCCCTCTGGTAAAGTATTTTCTGGGCTGTCTTCCCTTTTCCTTTCCTCATCCGGACAGAGAATGATTGATTTTTCCAGGTAAGACCTCCTGTTCTGCCTTGTTTTGTGACATTAATTTTTCTTGTGTGGTTAATCTTGAGTTCTGCTAGACAGGGATCTCCAGAAGAACATCCCAGATAGAACGTGCACATATTGTAAAAGAGGGTCTATTCTACCTGCTTACACAGGAGGGCCTGGGCCATCCAACAGTGGGTGCATGCTGGTGTGGCTGAGCCGATGATAGATACTCCGTGTCCAACGTGGGAGCCTCAGCAGTCCCAGTGCGGCACTGCAGGCCTGAGGGGTTCTGGAAAGTTGCTGCTCTTCAGTCCATGTTGGAAGGCTGGAGAAGCTGGAGTGCGATCTTAGCGAAGGATGGCAGCCATAGCAACGCGAGCAGCATCAAGGATAGACACCAGCAAGCATGGAAGGTAGGCAGTCAAGACTGCTTTTTTTTCCTCCACCTTTCTGTATCTGGGTCACCCATCATAAGGTCCTGCCTACTCTGGGAGAGGTGTCTTCTCTTCTCAGCTAATCCTTCCTGGAAATGTTCTCATGGACCCCTTTCCCCTTGAGGCATGTCTCTGAATTGATTCCAGATCCAATCCAGTTGACAACCAAGATTATCCATCACATGTGATGAAAAAGCTCCAATCTTCCGTTGTAAATAGCATTGTCTCTTACTTTTGAGTTCCACTTTGCTTTATTCACTGAGACAAAATCTATGCTTTTATAGATTATATTATTGTATAGATTATATTATTGTATTATTTATAATATATTTTTATACCATATATGATATATTACCATATACTATATGCCTATAATATACAATCTATATTATTTATATAGATTATTATATTATTATATAATCATCCTTTATCTGTAAAAGATTGTGCTGTGAAATGCAGTACTCACATAAAATGAACAAATTAAACAGTAGCGATACATGGTACTCCTTCATATTCATACACAATAATGCATGCAAACAATGGTCCCTCAAAGATCTTGCTGTGGCATCATAGCCATTTAGTTTATGCAAGTACACTCTGTACAGTGATGAAATTGCCACTGATGTTTTTAAAGACTGTTTCCACCTTGTTAAGTCATCACTAACATTTATTTGATATTTGGATGAAAGTGTTTTTCACTCTTAAAAATGATGCTATGCTGGGTAGTGGCAGCATACGCCTTTAATCCTGGCACTTGGGAGACAGAGACAGGTAGATTTCTGTGAGTTTGAGACCAGTATGGTTTATAGACCAAGTTTTAGAACATCCTTCAAAGCTGCAGAGAAACCCTGCCTTGAAAAACCAAAAAAATTGATGCCACAAGAAATATTGTTCATGTTTTCTGACACAGGCCCAAATATATATGCATATATATATTTAAAATTATGTGTATTGTTCTCTTAGTTAGGGTTTTATTGTTGTGAAGAGACACTATGATCATGACAACTCTTATAAAGGAAAACATTTAATTGGGGCTGGCTTACAGTTCAGAGGTTTAGTCCATTATCATCATGGCAGGAATCATGGCATTATGTAGGCAGACATGGTGCTGGAGAGGGAGCTGAGAGTTCTGCATCTTGACGCACAGGCAGCAGAAGGAGACTGTGCCACACTGGACATAGCTTGACATATACGAGACCTCAAACCTGCCTCCACAGTGACACACTTCCTCCAACAAGGCTGTGTGTACTCCAACAAAGCCATACCTCCTAATGGTTCCCCTCCCTATGGGCCAAGTATTCACACACACACACACATGAGTCTGTGGTGGCCATACCTATTCAAACCACCACAATGGATGTTTTTCTACAAGTATGTCTTTACACCACGTTCATGCCTGGTGCTTGTGGAAGCCAGAAGTGAGTGCCAGATGCCCTGGAACTAGAGTTATGCATGGTTACAAGCCACAATTTGGGTGCTGAGAATTGAACTTGGTCTTCTGCAAGAGTAGCTGACCCTCTCTCCAGGGCCATTGTATGTTTTTCTTTTGGATTTATGAGACAGGGTTTCTCTGTATCATTATATATTTTTATGGAATGTGTGACTAGCAGTTGTTTGTGTGTCTTCATCTGTACTCCATAGTGCTAAACTGCTTTCTAAAGTAGATGGCTCAATGTACACTTTCACCAGCATTACACAGAACCCTCATCTTATTCATGCCTGAACTTGGTACTGCCTTTCTATTTTTAGTTATTCTGGGGTTATGTCCTGTGGTGCTGGCATTAATAAGGTTTAACATTTTCTAACCTTTTTAGGTCATTTGGATGTTCTCTTTTGTGAATTGTGTCTTGAAATTGCTTGTTCTTTATGCAATTGGGTGGTTTACTTATTGGCTGTAGAATTCACCATACATTTTGGATATAATCCCTTTGCTAAAAACCTAGGTCTTACAGAGTATCTCTCATTCTGAGGTTTGCCTTTTCATTGTCTTTTGGTGAGCAAAAGTTTTAAGTTTTATTTTAGCATGACTATATAAACAAGATCACCCAATCTAAGATTGTAGATTGCAGCCACCACCCTGTTGTAGGGCCTTACCAGTATCCTCTGAGTTCCCCTATTGTTTTTCCATGTCCTAAGTGGGATATGCAGAATGCTTTGCCCTCTCTGTGACTTGACCAACTGCTGTTTTCCTCCGTAGGCTTGAAGGCAAGTCAGGACCCCAAACATCCCAAGTTCCGGCAAAGCTTGTATGTTTCTGATGTGTGCATTAACCATGCAAAACACATAGAAGCTACTTCTACTCCTTAAACCCTCATACAAACCCCATCCCCTGGCCCCCTTTGTTGGGACACTCCTAAATAACACCCCTCCCTTCAGTACTGTTCCCGAGGAGTTTGTGCAGCCTTCCTCCACCTGTCTGTCCCTCATGATGCTTTGCTCCCACTGCCTTGGCACTTAGTACTTCTGTATTTGGAACTACAAATGGACCATGTCTGGAAGTCACTATTCTACTGTCATCTTGGGGAATGGAAGCTAGAGCCCCAACCCAGATGCAACCCTTCCCCTCTCCCCAAAAGTTTCCTTTGGGTCCCTTAGCAGTCAGTTTTTTATGTTCACACCAGGTAACTCCTGTTTGGATTTCTTTCACTGGAGATTAGCTTTGTCTGCTACAGAACACACCTCTGATCAAATAGGATGTGCTCTTTGTGTCCAGTTTCCTTCATTCTCTGTGGTTTGCCTACTTCATGGTGTGTATCGATGGCTTGCTCTTTTTATTGCTGTCAGGTTGATAGATGTTATGAATAAAGTTGTCTAAAATGTTTAGGTACAAATCTTTTTTTATAGATACCAATTTTCACCTCTCTTACTAAATATCTAGGAATGGAATTTCCATGATAAGTATATATTTAACTTTCTAAGAAACAGACAAGATACTTGCAAAATGGTGGAACCATTTTATAGCGATCCCACACATGTTTTGGTTTTCTATCCTTTAGTAATAACTGGGATTACTTCTCTTTTACTTTAACTACTCTAGTAGGTGGGATAGCACAAGATTTATTTTTAGTACCCATAGGCTTTCTTAAAGAGCCTAAGACAAGCAATCATCAAGGAATAAAATCTTAGAAGCTAATATGGGCAGCATAAAAGCTATGAGGGTGTTTGCCTTAGTCCATATCTCTTGTAATAACTAAATACCAAAATCTGGGTAATTTACAAAGAAGAGAATTCTGTTTAGTTTGTGGTTCTGGATGCTGGGAGGTCTAAAGGTCTGGACCAGCATCTGGTAAGGAATTTCCTGCTGACAAAGACTCCTGAGGTAGTACAGGTTACTACATGCAAGGGACCCAGGAGAGGTAATCAAATTGTCTTTAATAATAGTCTTAATTTTGTGCTAACCAACTCTCTCCCTCAGTGTGCTGGCTAGTTTTATGTAAATTTGACACAAGCTTGAGTCATCTGAAAGGAGGGAACCTCAATTGAGAAAAAAACCTCCATAAAACCTGACTGTAAGGCATTTTATTAATTAGTGACTGATGAGGGAGGGCTCAGCCCATTGTTGGTGGTACCATCCCTCGGGTGGGGGTCCTGAGTTCTACAAGAAAGCGGGATGAGCAAGCCAGTAAGCATCACTCCTCCATGGCCTCTGCCTGCCTCAGTTTCTGCTTCCAGGTTCCTGTCCTGACTTCCCTCAGTGATAGATTCTTACCTGGAAATGTAAGCAGGCGTTAATCCTTTCCTCCCCAAGCTACTTTGATCATAGTGTTTCATCATTGCAATAGTAACTCTAACGAGGACACTCAGTAACTCATTAGTCCATTAATCCATGAGTGGATCAACTCATTCATTGAAGACAGAGCCCTTATGACCCAGTCACCTCCCAAAGGTCTTACCTGTCAGCACTTTTGTCTTAGCCCTTATTTCTTGAATGTGAAATCTGGCGGACACATTCAAACCATTGTAGGATTGCTCATTATTGTTCTGGTTCCATGAGAAACCTTGATCTAATTCTGTCCTACTGTGAAGTATACCAGTGATTCATTTATACTATTAGGACCCATTTGATGACTGGTGTCACAACTTCTGTGCTAGTGGCTTTCTGAAGGTCCAGAGCTGTTGTAAGATAGATTACCTACACAGCCATGCCTCAGATCCATGCATGAGTCTCCATGTGCAGAGAAAGGTAGTGGTTGTTCAGTGAGCTATTGGGGATCCTTGCCAAGATACTGGTGGGCAGACAGGCCAGAAAAACTAGAAGGGGCAATATGTGGTGCTTACTTGCATGGAACCTGTATGGTAGTTGTCACTGTCTCTGCTCCCAGGTTTCCTGGGACCTACTCTAGCAGTTGGAATACTATTGCTGCTTTTGTCAAGCTGATCTTTTTGGGTTGGTCTCTAACTCCAGCCTCTATCTCTTCCTTTACAAGCTTCTCCTTCAAAGCCCCTTGAATTACAGTCCAGAGAAAATGATATTCTCTGGAGAGACAAAAGCTAGAAATGATAGCATTGTTTATCAAGTTTCAATTTGAACTGTCATTGTTAGTAATGATAGGGGCAGGAGGGACTCCAGCTGTTATTGTAGCCAGTAGAAACCACTGAAAACTAGTAGGTATAAATGGTTCTATCCCACCTTCCTCAAAAGTAGTATCAAGGAAGTGGGAGAGAAGACAGCCTTAGACCTAATTTAGAACACTTTTCAGGTTTGATGGGCTCTTCCCTGATTGTTCTTAACTTTCACCTGTTTTGCACATATAAACCAACCAAGCAGAACCTATCTAACCCTGTTAATCCTCTTAGACTCAGTCTCTTGTTCAGCAGCCAATTTTCGAATCTCCTATTGGCCACAGAGGAGCCTTTTTCTTGATAAGGAAATGCTTTCTGTATCGTAGAGTCTTATGTTTATTTTAAAATAACAAAGAAATGTGGTTAGAGAAATACATATATCAAAAATTGTTGAGCAATGTGTATGTGCTTTATTTTATTTTATTTTATTTACAAAAGTATCATCCAAGACTTAGAAAGAGACTGGAGACTGGAGATTCCCTAGTCCAGTTTTCCACCTAGTGTAGTGAGCTCTCAACATTATAACCCTGACAGACTTTGTTGCTGCTTGAAAAATCTCCAGAGCCTGGCGACTTCCTCCTGGGACAGTTGCTGCTGACACTGGACAGCACTGGCACTAGCAAGTTCCTTCTGGCACCAAATCAACACCTGCTTTCTTTTCCTTCCAGCCTTTTATCATAGTTCTGGCCCGTGCAGCAACTTAGAATTAGTACACGCTTCACTCCATGACAGCTCTTCAAATATTTGAAAGTAGGTATTATGACTGTCTTTATTCTTCACCTCCCAAGTTGCTTGAATAATTTATCAAAAATTATAGCTTCTCCCACTTACCTGGACGCTTGCCTTTCATTACACTCTAATTGGTCAATGTCCTTCTTAAAATGTGGCATCTAGAATTGAATTCTTCGTTACAGACACAGTTTAACCAGCCAGAAACACAATGGAACTGTCATAGGTAGTGATCCGTGGGTAGTAATTTCTCAGAGAGAACTCATCCTTCAGTTAAGCCCCTTGGGAGGGACGAAGGGTGCTGAGGATGTAACATAGTGAGAGGGTATTTGTCTAGGATGCATGATGCCCTGGGTTCAATCCCAGCACCACACACAAAGAGAAGCTCCTTAAATGAAGTTGACTTGTATGAAAATGTTAGGAAAATTATAAGGTGTCTTATAAATGAAGTGCTTTCTTATGTGCCATTTTAAACTTTAAAAACAACAAATGAAGAATGTTCTTGCACATCTCACGCATGTCTTTTGCAGTGTTGAGTCTAAGAGCATTTTAAATCTCAGCCATTCTTCTAGAGTCCTGAGACTTTTCAGAGTTGAGTAAATTTTAAACAATGCAAGACTTTTATAGACATGTCTTTTGGTGCAAAATGTCATAAAATTCTACTTACCTTCCCTTCATGTGTATGAGTGTTTTGCCTGCATGTTTGTATATCACTACTGTGCCTAGTGCCCATGGAGTTTAGAAAAGGATGTCAGTCATCCTGACTGGAGTAATGGATGGTTGCAAGCCTCTGTGTGGGTGCTGGAAACAGAACCAGAGTCCTCTGTGTGGGCAGTAAGCTTAGACTCTTAACCACAGAGCCATTGTTCCAGTTCCCAGCTGTTATTAAAAAAAAACACTCTGTACTCATTTGATAGTAGAATTGTCTATTGATAAAAATTTTATTAAGTAGAACTATTGTCAAAGTAGAGTTTTAAATATATAATTTGTACATTTTCAATTTTATTGTGTGATTTTTGAAAACACTTTTGAGTAGTTTTGGAACCATAATCTTAATAGGGTTTAATATTGTTAATTAACCATTCATCCTCAATTGTTTATTGTTATATTGTTTATTGTATATGTTAAGGATTTGGAGATGTTAATTAATTACTTATTCTTCATTCTTCTTTAACTCTAGAAGACTTTTTGAAAAGAGTAACCTGTTTTTATTCTAATGTGTTTGACCTTTTTTTAACCCAGAATATTCTAGTTAGGGATTCTAACATTCTAACTATAGGTTATTGGCTGGTGAATATAAATGTATGTAAATATAATTGTGAGATATAAATATAGGACTCAAGTGAAATCATGGTCATGATGAGAGCCCAGTATATGTCTTGGCACATAGTATGTATTAACCTGTCTTTTGGTTCTATAACAAATTACTAGAGACCTGGCACTTTATAGAGAAAAGCAATTAAGCTCACAGTTTTGGAGGCTGGAAGTCCAAGGTGGGATTGTTCTATTTGCTTGACTCCTTCTGAGGACCTTATGATGAATGATGTCATGGCAGGGGTACATATAAGAGGGAGAGAGCACGTTTCAGACCAGAAAGAGAGGAAGGGTCATATTTGCTCTATGTGTGTGTGTGTGTGTGTGTGTGTGTGTGTGTGTGTGTGTGCCTGCCTGTGTTCATGTGTGTGTGTGCTTGTGTATGAATGTGGAAGATGTATGTGTGTGTGCGTGTGTGTATGTGTATGAATGTGGTAGATGTGCATATGTATGCATGTATGTGTATGTATGAATGTGGGGTATGTGTGCATGTATGCTTTCATGTGTATGTTCTATGTAAATGACCTTGAACTCATGGTCTTCTTGTCTCAGCTTCTCAAAATGACTCTAGGTTGGGTCAAGTTGAAGCCATCTGAGGCATCAACACTTCCCACTAGGTCAAGTCCCAACAGTACCACAGCAGTGGGGAGAAAGCTCCTAACATGAATCTTAGGGGGAAATGCTCAAATTACATCCAAACTTCAGCATGATAGATTCTTAATTGGTATTTGCCACATGAACACTGCATACTGCAGGATATTTTCCTTATCTTGGCTGTGAACCTGGTTTTACAGCTAGAGCTAAATCCCAAAGGTCTAAGTATCATTGTTTTAGGCACTTTAGAGCTGCATTAGTTTTAGAATTGATTTCTCTTTCAGTGATACATTATTTCATGGTCAAAAGGAATTACTGCATTTTCTAAAATGTGACCATCTTGTAGTAGGTATGATTTGATTTGTAACATGTGCCAAATACTTCAAAGAGCACAATTTATTTTGAGTTGTATACATATTTAGAAGCAGTTGTCTGCTGTTCTCTACAATGGAAAAATTTTTACTAAAGAAAACCAAGTAAATCACTTTCAACAAAGATACAATTCTGACATAAAGTTAGGAAAAGCAAAAAAAATTACAGAACCTGCCATGTGTTGGCAAACCTTTAAAATATTTGTTCAAACCAAACTTTCCCTCCTAGTAACAAATCTTGGCACTGGGACAGTGTAAATTGGAGGGACCCTGCTTTTCCAGGTTAGATGTGGAGTTCCAAATTCATTATGAATACCATTAGGTTCCGAGTGTCTTCTTCTTCTGGGTTACTTTCTTCTCAAGTTAAGAGAATGCTAAATAAATAGGTAAACCTTTATAGAGAGCAATGGTACCTTCTTTTTTGTGTTTTATACAGATAATCTTCCTAAGCTTGGTGTTATTTGGCTAACCATACACTATACAGGCATGCACAGACTAGAAAATTAGAGATGTTGTGATAGCATTGAGTGGTTATTGTTTGGGCCATATGAGTGTGTAAGCTTTAATACCCATATCAGTTAGTGTTTTCTAAACTTCATAGTATTTCCCACTAGCAAAGAACTGTCTCTTTTTCTGAGAAAAAAATTGCTTATAAATGAGGCCATTTTGCATATTAATTAGGAGGCCTTTGAACTCTAAGAATAAAATCTGTTAACTCTTTGGATGTGGAACAAGTATGTATTCAAGGACATTAGCGTTATGCTAATAACTAGACAAGCTTTACATTTTTCTTTGCTTTGTTTGCATTTCCTAAAGATAATTTAATGCAAATAATCCATCCATATGCTGTGTGGAGCGTGGCGGATGGTGTTCCTATAGTTAAGATTTTATCAGTACTTCTGTTATAAATCTCTATTACCCATGCTTTATAATTTAATTGAAAAAACTCACTGCAGGCAGAATTTCAACACTTAGAGTTTCAGGCTGAAAGCAATATTTCTCTTTTAAAAATTGCCTCCTCTATTTAATTTCATAGTTAATGGAAATGTAAGAAGTATCCTTCCAGAGCTGATTTGGAACAAAACCAAACAGATCATTGTCTACAACTGAAATCATTTCTAAATAAAAGTACTCGGTGTCTTATTATTGGCCTAGTACTACAGTGTTTAGCCAAATTAAAAAAAAAAACACAGCAACTGAATCTGTTTATCCTTCCTCTCCCCTCCCATCCCCCACATACAAGGAGAACTAGAAAAGTCTGTGAAGAGATGTCTAAAAATGCATGTTAAATAAAGGCTGTGTGGTGCCTTTTGGTTAGGCTTCCATGTGCACATTTGATTCTGTGCAGTGGGTCTGAGCTCCAGCTGGGGACCTGCCCTTGTCAAGCTGAGATAGGAAGGGGGCAATAGGGCAAGGGGATGCATGCTCTAGAGTTCTTTATCTGCCATGGAAGTGTTCATTTTAACCTTATGCTTCAGTTACCTTGATCGGATCCCAGGGTTAATTAACAGGCATACAGTCTCTGCTGGCTTACATGGTAGAACTGAGAAGATCAGGTTTTTGAAACATGGTTGTTTTGCCATCAGCTTTTGAACTCAAATCCTGTAGTGTAGAAAGGTTAACCTGCCAGCTAACTCAGACTTTCCAATCAAGCCTTTGCTGTAGTTTTAGCAAACCCATGGAGAAAAGAAATTGAGTTAGAATGAGATGCACTCTTTCCCTAACCAACCAAATTTTCTGTTTAGTTTTACTTGTAAAAATGCATGTCAGTGTGTGGAGTCCTTAACCGTAAGTAATCATGGGAACTTGCATAAATACTATCCATCTTTGTCTATGAATGGTATTATTTCTAAATCACTTGTCTTGACACCCTAAGAAAAACTATTGAAAATAATACAAGCACCTTTATGACATTTTGCAATTTGAAAAATGCATTAATACTCACATCTTACTTTTGAAAGAGTATGTCAATGTCATAATAATGATGTTCCTGTTTTGAGGGAAAAGAAGCCAACAGGATTAATTGAAGAAAAACTATCAGGCATAATCATTATTAGTGATTTAAATTTGAATTATCTTTATCCTTCCCATTTTCAGAAAACCTGGCACTAACAGTTACCGCACTGTGTGCTTCACCCTTGCCATCAAGCTGGTTCCTCACAGAAACTTCCTGATGGACATTCAGGTCCCATCTCATTGACACACCTGGACACAGCTTCTCAGATGGCAGAGAAAGCAGAAGCTAAGAGCAGCTGCAACTTGCTAAGGATTCTGGGTAAACAAGTGGCCATCAGCACTCATGTTCTAGCTTCAGTCTTGCGGTCTTTGTCCAGTAGCCAAGTGGCTTCTTCCTGCTTTTGGGATAACTCACCTTTTAAAGTTTGAGCAACCAAGTACAGTGAGATATGGAGTTTAATCTTCTTGTACTTAGTCTGAATGGTTTGGAAGTGATACGGTTTTCTTTCTTTCAGCTTTGGATGCTGGGTAGTCTGAGTTCAAGACACCAAGGTTTCTGGTGAGGGCTCACTCTCTGCTTCTAAGATGGCCACACCCTTTTGTCATCACACATTCTGTAGCTTTATGTGGCAGAAGGATCGAAAGGGCAGTTTACTTGGAAGTCTTTTTCCTTTTCTTCCCCCTCCTTTTTTTAATTTAGAAACAATCATTTTACATATCAATCCCCCACCCCCTTTCCTCTCCGTCCCATCCTCCCATGCCCCCTACCAACCCCTACAACCCACCCCCACCCACTCCCTAAGGACAGTGAGTCCTTCCATGGGTGACCAGCAAAGTCTGTCACATCATTTGGGGAAGGGCCTAGGCCCTCCTCCATGTATATCTGGGATGAAATAGTATCCTTCCATAGGGAATGGGCTCCCAAAATCCATTTGTGCACTGGGGATAAATACTGGTTCCACTGTTAGAGGACCCTTAGACTGCCCAGTTCTCCTAACTGGCACCCATATTCAGAGGGTTTGGTTCAGTCCAATGCTGGTTCCCTAGTTTTATGACTGGAGTTCCTTTATGACTAGGTCAGGTCAGCTGGTTCTATAGGTTTCTCCAGCATGGTCTTGACCCCTTTACTAATCCCTTCTCCCTCTCTACAACTGGATTCCAGGAGTATGAAAGCCTCTTTTCTATGGGCTTTAATTCTATTCATGTGGGAAGTGACCTCATGACTTAGTCTCCCCAAAAGACCACACTTCTTAATGCTATCATAATGGGGATTGACTTTGCATGTGATTCCAGATACTGTGACCGGAATGCCTTCTACTTGTGTGATAGCTGTTGATAGCAGCCAGCCATACAGGAATTTATAAAATTTCTATGTCTAATTCTTAAAGCATTTTGTATAGTTTAATAACAAATACAAAATAATGGATGCAAAAGCCTAGAAAAGATTCCTGTACCACTGCTTTCTCTGCTCCCACACTGTGGCATGAAAGCAGTTTTGATAATAAAGTGGGAACTGCATCTTCATGAAGTGCCTGTAAGGATTAAATTTGATAACATATGGAAAACACATAGTGCTGGAAAACACATAGCACAGTAACTATCAGCACTAGGTCTTTTGTAAATAGTGACTCTAAAGGCAACTCAAATTTGAAAGCATTAATAATGAATGTAACTGATGTCTCTTCTATAATTAATATTGGCTACAATGGAGATGTCTTTCTTTTGTTTAAAAGCAATGCCTGTTCTTTTAGAAAATAAAATAACATAGGCTGCAAAAACAATAATGTAGCTGGCTTGGCAGAAATAAAGACATTCTGAAGAGACACTTGTGGCTCTCAATCTGAATTATTAGACTGTTGAAACATGGACCCTAAGAAAATGGCTTCTCCTGGAATTGCATGCAAGCCAAAGGTAAAGCCCAGTCAGTGGCCCAGTGTTTAAACTTTCATTTCATGTCAGGGTCTAGAAGATGATGTTGGGAAGTCACTGGATCTCTCTGTCCCTCTTGTCAATGTGTCTGCACTAAATAAGTATTCTGCTTTCTGCTTTCTACTATTAAATTTGACTCTTTTAATTGACTTATTGAGGACAGGTTGCCGAAACTGGCTTGGGGCACAGCCCTGTAACCTTTATGTTTGACAACAGTAAGAACAATAATGCAGAATTAGATTAGCTCTATTGTAACCTATCATATAAGATGCCTCCACCATCTTAATTATATAGATGTTGAGGGATATTAACTCGACCAAAATTACTATTTATATAGCATTATTACTCTTTGTGTGTGTGTGTGTGTGTGTGTGTGTGTGTGTGTGTGTATGTATTATTCTTTATTTAAAGCCTGTGGTTGTGGGTATGTGTCCATTACAATTTTGCATATTTTGTTCATAAGGTGGACATGTATGCTAGAAAGGGCCAACTCCCACACCCTGTCCCATAATTTACTAGGGGATTGATTCATGGTTGACTGTGTGATCCATGCCTGCCTAGTCAGTGGCATTTTCTGGATCATTTTAGTTGAAAAATCAGGGGAACCCTTTTCCTCTTTTACCATGAATCTTGAAAAATACAAGCCAGTGTTTCCTATGGCTAGAGACAAAACTCATGAGTCTGGTGGGAGAGTGTAAAGCCACCAAGAAGAGGAGGTGATGGTCAACTCTGGGAAAGGACAGGGGGCCACTGAGTTGGGGCAAGAAAGAGAATCTGATGATCCAAGGCCCTGGATCTGGACATATTTTATCCTTAATTTTTTTATTGTGTATTTATTTATGTGTGTGTGTACATATTTAGTGTGTGTTTTTCATGGTCTGTGTGTGAACTCAGAGGACATCTCTAGGGAGTCAGTGCTCTCCTTGTACCACGTGGGTCCTAGGGATCAAGCTCAGGTCCTTAGGCTTGGTGGCAAATACCTTTACACGCTGAGTCCTCTAGCTGACCTGTTATCATTGTCCTAAATTTCATTTCTATCTAATTTCAGGAGGCAATGGATTGTCTATGGTTTGATGGTAAAAAATCTTGTGACTAAATGCTTTCCCCCTAGGTCAGTTTTGTTTTTTCCCTCATATATTTTATTTTGTTTTTGTCAAAATTGACTATCTAGAAACAGGTGAAAATCTGGCTTGATGCCAGGGCCCTGAACTTCTCTTCTAGCTCTCTTTAGAGATAGCCATTGCCAGTAGATTGATACTTTTCTTTTTCACTAAAACCACGTAAGCAAACATTGGCTCTATGTGATGTTTAACCCTGTTGTTATAGAGTTTTCATCAACGTTGGCTTTAGTAACTTTTGCTTACCACACATGCACAGGCTGCGTGTCTCCCATCGCCTCTCTTTGGGCGTCTTAGCTCTTCTCCATGCATACCTTTCCTCTACTCTGTTAGCGTCTGGGAGGCTGGCCTGGAAGCAGGGACCCTGCCTTCTAGATGGAGGTCCTGCTGGGTATTGCTTCTCCTGGCCTTTCCTGTGGAGTTATTGAGGGCTTCCCTTGACTAGAGGTCACAGGTCCTGGTAGATGACCGTCTCTTCTCAGCTTTCCCCTTCTGCTTGTCTCCCTCTGTGAACACCCTCATGAATCAGTCTGTGTAAATGCTTGTGTACTTACCCGACTTGAGTATGCTTTGTTCCTGTCTGGACTTTGAGTAATGCTGTTTGTATCACAGTGTCTTTTTCCTCCACATTTCATGTCAAGATATGACATTATCCATGTTTTTAATCATTTCAATTCTCATGAGGGGAAAATAGCATCTTGCTTTAATTTATATTTCTTTGATTATTATTGAGTTTGAACATCTGTTCATATGTTAATTGGCCATTTGCATATTTCTGTTAATTGCTTGTTAATATTCTTTGCCCATTTTTCTTTTGGGTGATCTCTCTCTTTTTTGATTCACATTATGAGTGGAATCTTTTCTCCTATTATATTTCCCAATGAATTGCTGTTACTTTAAGTGAAAACTATTGATTTTCTATTTTGCTATTTATTTCTGTTCTAATAGATCTTATTTGATTCTCTTGGATTTTCTCATATCATTTTCAAAGAGTGTCAGGACTGTCCCTTCATTTCCAGCTGATACCACGTTGATTTATCTTGTTTTTGTGCTTTGACTTGATCATTCAAGACACTGCCAGACCACAGGGGTTATGGGAATCACTAGGCAGTGGTGGTGCTGTTGGTGGCCCTTGTCTATTCCCAGCTAGCTCTTCCCAGAGTGTGACTCACAGAATGCTGCTATAGGGAGTTAACACCTGGGGTCCCCCCCAAAGCTTAGACTCACTGGGAAAGCTTGGAAGAACCTTAGAGAGAGCCAATGTACAGGAATATGTTGAAGACTCTTAGGGCTTCCTTGCTGTTTCTGCCCTTGGCTAATCTAGCTGTGCTACTGAATTTTATGCAGCACATTATCAGCTCAATATTTGCATAGGTCCTGCAGGGCCAAAGTATAAACACAAAATGTTTTGCAATGACATAGCTGAATCACTGTGGTTTATGCAAAAGTCTGACTGCTGTTCTCATTGCTGACTGCTGCTGAAGCCTAAGCTGAGATAGCTTACGTTTCAGGCGTCACCTGCATCGTCCTACATTTGGGTTTGCTTTCCCTTCAAAAGAAGCAGTGAGATAAAAAAGGTCGATTTACATGAAAGAGAAATAAGAATACACACTGTTCCTGCTCCTTTATCTTTTTGGCTTCTCTCTCTCTCTCCTTCTCCTTCCTCTCCTTTCTCCCTCCTTTCTATAAACAAAACCTCAATAAATACCCCCCCCCCCATCAATGGGGCCTGGGGCGATGGCCCAGTCTATGAAGTACTTGCTTGAGGACCTGAGTTTAGATCTCTGGCACTTCTGTAAACATCTGGGCATTGTGGACATGCTGGGGAGGGGAGACAAGAGGATCCTTGGAGCTCACTGCCAGTCAGTCTAGCCAAAATGGTAAGTAAGAGATGCTGTCTCAAAAAATGAGGTGGGACAGCTAAACACTGAGCTGAACTCCTGGAATCCAGCTGCAGAGAGGGAGGAGTGATGAGCAAAGGGGTCAAGACCAGGCTGGGGAAACCCACAGAAATAGCTGACCTGAACAAGGGGGTGTTCATGGACACCAGACTGGTAGCTGGGAAACCAGCATAGGACTGATCCAGGAGTGGGTGTCAGTTAGGAGACCTTGACAATCGATGGGGCCTCTGGTAGTAGATCAGTTTTATCCCTAGTATCCGAATGGACTTTGGGAGCCCATTTCACATAGACACACAGGGAGGGCCTAGGCCGGGCTCCAAATGATATGATAGACTTTGAAGATCCCCCAATGGAAGGCCTCACCCTCCTTGGGGAGCAGAAAGGGAATGGAATAGGGGGTCAGTGGGGGACAGGGGAGGGAGAGGGAACTGGAATTGACATGTAAAACCAGCTTGTTTCTAATTTAAATTTTAAAAATATCTGAAAAAATGAGGTGGGGGAATCATAGGGCAGTGGTTCTCAACCTGTGGGTCATGACTCCTTTGCTCATCACTTTTACAGGGGTCCTAAGACCAGCAGAAAACACAGATTTTTACATTGCAATTTGTAACAGTAGCAAAATTACAGTCATGAAGTGCTGGTGAAAATAATTTTATGGTTGGGGGTCATCACAACACAAGGGACTGTACTAAAGGGTCACAGCATTAGAAAGGCTGAGAATCACTCCCATGGAGGAAGGTACCCGACTTTCACCTCTGTTTGCTACACACCTGCACATGCTTGAGCACACACGCACCC